AGTTTTTAAATCTGCCAGTCATTTATATTAAAAAATTACGTAAAATGCATTAAATTAAAAGTTACTACTTGTAAAAATCGGTCAATAATAATTCAATTTGAATAAAACTTTGTATGATTAAAATTTAAAGTGCAATAAATTTATTGCAATATTTGAGGTCATATTAATATGTAGAATTTTATGCAATGTCTTGTAACGGCATTTTATATCATGTAATAAAATCGGGAAATGATCGGCAAATTAATGTGATAAATGAGAAAGCCCGCTATGCTATAGAATCCCACTTACTTATAATAAAGATTACCATAGAAATTAAATAATTTTTACCTTACTTTTTTTTAAAAATTCTATTGGTTAATTAGTTAAAAACAAAAAAAATCATAATAATATAACATAAAATTTTCTTTTATAATACTAGGATTTGCAAAGAATTTATATATGATTTTTACTTTAAGCTTGAGGTGACCTATTTTATAAGTAAGCGGATTCTCATTATGTTTGATTAGTTTTGATTTGTAAATAATAACACAAATTCACCATATTTATCTTTTCTTCATATAAAACTGAATTTTGAAGTTATAAATTGAAATGTTCACCTTTCCTTAACCTTAAAAAAATAGCATTAAAAAAAAAGATCCTATATAATAAATTTGCAAGATCCTTACTAGATATTGCTGAATAATCAAAAATTTAAAGAAGATCATCTTTAGTAAATCCATTAGTACCATTTATACATAAAACCGAAATTGGTTAATTTTGACCTCCGAAATGGTCGAAATGGTTGAAATGATTTCGACTTGAGCCCCTCCAAAAGTCGAAATGGTCGAAATTATGTCATAGTCATATGATTTTATAGTAAACAATAATATTAAAATTTAAAGTTAACGAACTCCGCATCCAGTGATTCGATTTTTATGATCTTTACACGGTTGGATTCAGCTCATCGAGAGGATTCCAATGATATGTATTTCATATCTGTAGCATTGATATTGACGGAATTATTCACGTTTAAAATTTGGTATTAAATAGTCATATAATTTTTATAGTAAACAATTTTAAAATTCAAAGTTAACGATCTCCGCATCCAGTGATTCGATTTTTATGACCTTTACGCGGTTGGATTCAGCTCATCGAGAGGATTCCAATGATATGTATTTCATATCTGTAGCATTAATATTGACGGAGTTATTCACATTTAAAATTTTATATTAAATTATAATTATAAAAATCACATGACTATGATGTAATTTCGACCATTTCGACTTTAATTTCGACTTTTGACCTTCCCAAGTCGAAATATTTCGACTTTTGGGCTTTAATTTTGACTTCATGTATAGTACCATTACACTTTTCATGATCTTAACTCACAAGATTCTTAATTTTACTATTCAAAATCTGCCATAATTGTAATATTAATTTTTATCTATAATATTAATAGGTTTTGAAAGAACAGACTTATTATTCAAATGTCTATTTATTGCAAATATGCAACTATTAACTGAAGAAGCATGATATTCAGAAACATCTTTTTTTTCATTGTATAAAAAAATCTACAAAGTTAATCCTCTAATTCCTCTTTTATGTTAACTTTTTCTATCAATTTTTGATAATTAATATCTGTTCTAGATTTTTCTAAAGCTTATATCCAATTTGAAGTTGAATAATCAGTATTTTTATATTGGCTACTATCAATAAGATTACAAAGCTCATCATTAGTAGGCTTTTTATAAGTAAAGTTCACCTTTAATTTTTTATAAGATCATCTTTGTTATTTTGAATCTTTAAAATATTAATAAAAAGGTTTTGTGTAAAAAAGAGGGTCAGAAAATGAAAAAATGGAAAGAAATGAAATTGGATAAAGAAAAAAATAATAAAAGCTTAATTTATGAGTTTATTATAGCTTAATTTGAGTTTAATAAAAGTTAATAAAACATTATAATGTCACACTATAATTTATAAATAAAAATCTTTTATTATTTAAAGTTTAAACTTCCAAGTTTTTTAGGATAACTACTATACTTTTAATATTAGAAAAAGCTAAAGCTATTTAAGTAATAGATTTTTCAAAAGAAAATATTAGTAGACTTTTAAAACTCTGAAATCAATGCAAATCAGTATTCTATATTTGAATATATAGCATTAAATGTTATTTTAATTAGATTATATATTTAGTTACTTGATTATAAGTATAACTTTTATAAACCATTTATATAAATTGTAAATTTATTATTATTGTATTGAAATATTAGTAATTTTGTACCAATTATTATATGAATTGTTAATTCAAAGATATATATTCATATAAAAATATAATTTTTTTTTATTACAATTATTTATATTTAAATTAGCATTTTTTTTTCAAAAAAAATTCTGTTTATGATTTATGACGGATGTGATTTTTCACCAGTAAATTAAAATATGATCAAATCCAATATAAATCTTGGGTATTGACAATTTTTGTTAAATTAAAGGTCACGTGAAGGTTAAACATGACAATACGAATTTTGTATTGATGAATTTTTTTTTTAGATTACAGCATTGATCTTTTATCAGTTTAATTTTAATATATAAATTAGCGTAATTATTAAATATATATAATTAATTAAATCATTATGCAATTAGAAATTTTTAAATATATTATTATTCGTCAGCAATCTCCAAATTGGGAGACTTTGGTGGTCTCTCTTGGAGCTCATCAGAATCGTTGAGGTCGATAGCCTTGCGCTTCCTTTCGAGAGATGATGAGAGAACTTCAGGGACAATGTGTTCTTTGGTAGACCGACCACCCACATCGTCTTCAGGCTCGTCCTTAAGCTTGACCTGGCCGGTGGACTCAACATGTTGTTTTTCTTCAACTGGACTAGCATCATCATCTTCGGAGAGTACCTTCTCAGAGCGTGATTTTTTTGTCGGAGATAGATCATCGGCCGCAACATCATCAGATCCGTCCTGCTTTCTTTTTTGGCCACCGGATTCGGATTGCTTTTCTCGGTTTGTTGGCGCAACATCATCATCAAGTTTGTCTTGTGACTCGGTCTTTCTTTTTTTACCGCCAGTATGTTGTTTTTCCTTTCGGCCGTTTCCTCGACCTCTCGTTGTCCCACGACCTCGACCTTTACCTCGAACGTTTTTATTTGTATTATTTCCGCTACTCTCTTCTGAATTGATGCCAAATTCGGCTTTGAGTGCATTACTTTGTTTTGATTTTTCGAAGAATTCATTCTTTTTCTTCTGATAATAGTCTTTCTCTTCATCGCCTAGAATTTTCGAACTATATTAGTAACCAATTAAAATAGGATTTAAAATATTGCTGGACGATCTTAACCTTCAAGAATTCTAAATTTAGGTTTAATGCCATCAAATTCCAGTTTATCGGACGGAGTAGACTCGATAATTTTATGATCAATCGGATGTTCAAATTCGATAACGCCGGATGAATTTTTTGGATCGTATTGTACATATTTAACATCCCCAAAGTGATTTTGCATTTGTGACTACATGATTGTAAAGAAAATGTGATATATAATTAACACAATTATATTAGGTTTAATAAAGTGAAGGAGTATCTATTTATATATACCCGAATGGTCAAATAAGTTGATTTTGGACCTGCGTCTTCAAAGTGTAACAAACAACCGGGATTCCATTTCTTACTAGGTCGCTTCTCCTTCTTGGTTATTTGTTGTTTTTGTAAACGCATTGTATTAGGGTCAAGTCCCTTCTCAACGCATTTCATTTCACAATAATCAAATCTATAATTTAAAACAATAAATTAGACTGATGTAAAAAGTACTATACATAAAGTACATCACTGCATAGAAATAATTACTTCATCATCATTGTAAGCTTTACATTCTTATATGATATATCCATCTCCGACACTTTCTTGGCTTCTTCATGTGTAGCAAACTGGATAAAGAAAGAATCCTAAAAATAATAGGAAATTATGTTGGTTCATAAGTCAAATGATTGATTTTATCTTAACAAAAAGAAAGTAAAAACAAGCCACCTTATAAGTGTTATCATCATCTCTTCTCGCAAAGGCCTTTTCAACTTTGCCATATTGTGAAAAGTACGACGCGACTTCTTTCTCGTAATTAGTATCAATTTCATCTTTATTAAACCCTTTCTACCAAAGTAAACGTATCAAATGTATTTAGTTGAATACGAAAAATACCAAAATAAATGTAATTTATATCTTGAACTTACCACGTAAATTGATCTCCAAATTGGAGAATCTTTGATATGCTGAGGGATGTCAATCATGACGAGAGTCTTTCGTCTGACGTGTTCTCCTTGTTCATCGACTTCAAGCAAGTTGGGAGATTCTCGTAATGCCTCAATGATCAAGTCATAATCTTTATAAACTTGCATTTTCTTGAATTTGCATATCATTTTCAAAGGAACCCCTGTTACAAAGTAATAGCAAAAAGATAAATTGATTGTTTAATGAAAAAAAAAGGCTTATAATTCTTTATTAAAACTTACATCCTTGAGGGTTTTTTGATCTTACTTCATTCAAAAATTTATCGTTTGGTAAATTCTTGTCACCAAAATAGTACTCTACTTGAGTTAATATTTTTTTCTTTAACTCCTCAATCTGTTCTGGAGTACGTGTGCTTTCAACCGAGGACATAGCTGTGATATTTCATTTAGCATTTATTAGTAATTTAAGTTTATGATGACGTAGGAAACATACTTTGTCACGTGAGATTAGAATATTTCTTTATGAAATTTATGAAAAAAATGTACGCGATTTTCACGCTGTCTTCGTAGGTATACAATATATTTTACTGTCGATAATAGTAAATAAAGATTTACCTGCGTCATTTGCCGAACCATTAGCATTACTTTTTCCTGGATCAGTTGCCATGTCTGTAATATTTTCGGGGGCCACGGCATCTATAAGCAACGAAGAACAAAAGATAAATTACAATTAATTACAGCTCTTAACGGGTATCTTTTCGTTACTTTCGTTTAACTGTATATATTAACCTAATAATGCGCAAGACACGCTTTCAGTTGAATTATCAGATGTTTGAGTTTGTTCAGGAATGTGTTTTCTTTCCTGTGTGGAAGCCATAATTATAGAAAGAAAGCAACTAAACAGGAAAGCATTCGTTTATATATAAAATTTTGATCTATTTATATGCAAACTTGCAAACTTTGCATAATAGGTTTTTTACTGCGCCAGTCCAAACACGATTGACCAATGATATGTAACAGTGAATGTTCATTTGAATTATAAAAATTTATCAATTCTTTAAAAAAATGAAAGGTATCCTAAATCATTTTCGTTCACGATATAATACATTTTCACTTAATTGTCGTTATAATTCTTCATTATCGAGTTCTTCATTACAATATTTCGATTTAAGCCACATCCATTCAATTCCTTCTAACTTAACTCCTAAATTCTGTATAACGGATTTTATTCTTTTTCCGGACCATTTTACACTACGGGAACAAGCATTTTTAACAACTCGTTCCTTAGAAAAATTAAAAAGAGTTTTTGGTAAAAGGACAATATATCAACCTTCGCATTTTGATCACGTCATACACAATTATAGAGAATGTCAAGTAACTAGTTGGACTAATGGTGATAATGAAATTGAACAAGAGATCAATGATTTATTAGACAATAAAGTTTACAATTTATTTTCTAAAATTAAATGGCTCCCCATTCATATTTTGGAATTGGCCGAGTCTATTGGTGGAATTAAACCCCATGTTGATAACATTGAGGTAATTTACTTATTATTGATAAAAAATTTTTTTTAAACAGAAAAGAAATTAATTGTTACTATAAAATTTTAAAGTATTCTGGTAACATTGTTGTCGGAATTTGTTTAATTTCTCCTACTGTAATGATACTTAGACATATAAATAATCCCGAATGTAAATTTTCCGTTTTATTAGAACCTGGGTGTCTTTACGTTCAAAGGTAATATACTTCAAAATTTTTAAATAATTGTTACGAATTCTAAGTATTTATGTTATATTACAGAGATACAATTAGATACAATTTCACTCATGAAATTCCTATCGATCCTGAATTACATAAATTTAAAAATAATCTTATACCAAAGGGACATAGAATTTCCCTAATGTTTAGGGTATGTATATTAATATCTTGTATTCAAAATACCCAAATCTTTCTAATATTTATCTTTACTTTTATTTTTATGTAATTAGAATGTCAAGTAATAATTTGATAAGAATGCTAAATAATAAATATTTTTTAATTTATATCTTTTATAATAGTGTTAATTGTTAATATAATCCCCTTTCTCATTTTAATGTACAATAATAAATAAATAAATAATACTAAACTTATTTATACCCTTCTATAAAGGAATAAAAATACAAAAAATTTCAATGGCAGATATAAAAAGTTAGTATAAACACATTTGCCTTATTTACAAATAGAGTTGGGAAGGAGAAGTTAAATAAGGAAGTCATAAATGTCCATTTGTTGTAAAGCAATCATCCAGATATTGCTAATTCCGTAATTAATTTCGTGCACACATCAAAAAAGGGATACATTGATGTAACTTCTTTTCCGTCAGTCCTTTGTTGGTGAAGCATTCTTGCTGTTGTCGAAGTAATTGGAGGAGTTAAAAATTTATTATTTTCAAATTTGGGTGAATAAGGGCCGTCTTGTTGATTGGATGACAATGATGACGGGACATCTGATTCAGATTGCGATGTAAGTGATGAAGGTGATGAAACTGATGATGATGTAAATTCAGTAGCAGCGGATAACTCATATCCGACATTTTTGAAATCAACAAGATAGTTATTGATGTCAAGTCTATAAAGCTGTAGATCTATCTTAACCTAATAAAAATAATTATTAGAATCTTATACTAAAACAAATTTTTAGTTGTGATTTATATATACTTGCTTGTGAACCAGTAGAATAAGTATATCTACATCGAACATGGAAAGGGTCCATTGTTTTCCATTCCTATTACAAAATTAGTACAGGGAATACTTTTTAATATAAAAATAAAAATAATAAATAATTATAAAATTTTAAATATTACCATTCCCAAATTTTTTAGAGCACGATAAATCTCAAGCATGACTTCAAGAGGAGGACTTCGTGAACGAATTCCGAAATGCCATTTTGATCTCGACTTTTTTTTACTCGGACTGGGTATTTTAGGAAAAATATTACCTATTTCATAAAAAACCGCGTTTAATTATAATTTCAAAAAGGAAATTGTTATATTTCATTTAAGATAATTATAATACATCGTTATCATTTTACTAACCTTGACAATATTCTTCGCTAAGAGGCAGGCTGGAACTTAACACTGAAATGCTTGACGGAGCGTCATCAACTTCGTCGCCTATTCTTTCTTTTTCCTTTGAATTCTTTTAAAAGATATATATTTAGTAAATTTATTGTAATAATTTGCAACTAATTTATTATTTACCTGAAGAGAATTCCATGAAGGAGGTGACGCTGCAAAAAAGCCTTGACAATTTTTCTGTCCAGATATTTTTCCGGCCAAAATCATGCGTTTATTATCTACTACAAGTTGGTATGCCACTTTAATTTGATTATTTTCCGGCTCTTGTAATGCCTGATATATAGTATTCCTACTAAAGCCCATTTTCTAATTAAGGTGTATATATATTTGTCAATTATATTCATCCTCTAAATTACGATAACCTTGCAAGAAAATACAAATAGACAAAACCTTTTGAAGTTCTGTCACAATATTACTATCTATTTCAGCAAATGGAGCTTCCTCACTTTCTGGAAGTGGTTTAAGATAATCAGGTAATTCAATATTAAACCACGGATTTTGCCTAATTCAAATAAAGATATCAATAAAAAAGATAAATATATGAAAATAAGAAGCTTAAATTTACCTAATATCTTGAATAGTTATTCTTTTCATAGGATCAACAATCAACATCGAAGACAAAAGAGATTTGGCTTCGGGTGATAAAAATGGCGGCAGCGTATAAATACCACCTAAATAAACACTGTGTTATAGCAATTCGATTTCCAGAATTTTTAACAAACAAATTAACGTACCATTAATTTTTTTGAATAATGTTGGAATGTACTCGTCGTCAAACGGTAGACGGCCACAGAGCATAACATATAAAATGACTCCACAGCTCCATACGTCGACTTCGGGACCTGCATATAATCTCCCAGAAATGACTTCTGGTGCTGCGTAATTTGGACTTCCGCAGCTCGTTTTCAAAAATTCTCCATCGGTCATTATATTTGATAATCCAAAATCTGCAATTTTGACGTTTTGATAGGGATCCAAAAGAAGACTTTACATTAACGAAGAAAAATGTTAACAAGCTATTATAAGAATTTTTACGAAGATATATAAACCTTTCTCACTTTTCAGGTTTCAAATCTCGGTGTGCAATCTTGTGCCGGTGACAATACTCAACAGCACAAATAATTTGCTGAAAAAATCTTCGAGCGTCGTGTTCTGACATCTAAAAGTAAATAGGGTCCAATTAAATAAATTAAATAAAGAATGAGAATTGAAAAAGATCTTTTTAAAATAATTTCTTTTTACCTTGCCTTTCTCGACGATAAAATTGAATAATTCACCTCCAGCGTATTCCATTACCATAATGATGTCGGTCGGTGTTGTGATAACTTCGTACCTGAAATTAATGGACGCGGAATTTTAACATTAATGCATCTGGTTAATTAATTAATTTATCAAACGATTAACAATAAATCAACAATCTAACCATAAAATAAGTTATTTACAATTTTATTATATGAGGGTGTCGGAGCAATTTAAGGTACTGAATTTCGCGTTTCACTCTTCCGACCATGTCCAAATTTGCAATTTTCTTCCTATTTATAAATTTCATGGCTACCTTATGGCCAGTAATGGAATGAACCGCCACTACAAATTCAAGAAAAAAAAAAAGTTCAGAAAACATTAATAATCGAATTTGGTTCTCTTTTGAGATTATAAATAAAAGCAATCTCAGTATATTTAAGTAAAAACTCACTTTTGACTTTGCCAAAAGAACCCACTCCAAGGGTTTGTAAAACATTATATTGACCGATTTTAATCTTATTAGAAGCCATAAAGAAATTTAATTACTATTACGATTATTTAGCGCGAAGTTATTAAACGCCCGACTTTAATAATATTGCCTTATTTGTTTACAATTAGCATGTGATAACTAAATTTTAGAATCCTAGTTACTAACCTAGTATAAACTCCTACCAGTTTATTTGCTAATAAGGTAAAGGTCCGATTTTAAATCATTTTTTTTTTTTCGAGATGTCTTTTAGATTCAATTTTTCGGTACTTTGCTTTACTGTTCGTTTTTTTAACTTTATATAAGCCCTTTTCTATATTGTTTAATGACTTATTCCGTTGAACTATCAGTCAGAAGAACTTGAGCCTACAGAAAATGAATCGACGGTTCAGAACCCTGTAGATAAGTATGATAGTTTGAACAGTCTCTTTCAATCCGACAAACAGCCATTCATTCCTCCAAGTGAATTAGTCCTTAACAATTTGGTAAATAAGTGAATTAAGAAAGTTTATTCCAAAATTCCTAAAAATTCTTTTCCTTTTATAGATTGATATACTTCCATCAACTTTGATAGCTGAACGTATTTTCTTTTCTACTTGTGAGCAATCTGTCCTTTATAAACGGCATCTCTCTGATGTTAAGTTTCAATTAGCACAAGAGGACAATCTGCTAGAAACAAATTACAATGAGGGTACAAGAATTTTGGAATTGACAGCAGATAGTGACATAGTTCAAGGAGTCTATGAAGGTGTTCAATTATATAATCGAATTTTATGTGAATTTATTATTTGAATTTATTGAAGTTCTTTTAATTAGGTGGATTAAAAACTTGGGAATGTTCACATGATCTTGTTGAATTTCTTTCAAAGAATATTATTAACTTGGATTTTGAAGGAAAAAAAATTTTGGAGGTTTTAATTATTATATTTCATTTAAAATTAAGAAGTATATTGTGACACTAACCTATTGGATAATTAAAAAGCTAGGCTGCGGATCATCACTTCCAGGCATATATATACTTACCACTAAAAATCCATTTAGAGTTGATTTTCAAGATTATAATAAACAAGTTTTGAAATTAGTTACAATTCCAAACATATTGCTTAACACTTTATTATGCCCAAAAACGAAAGATTTTTTTAATGGTACCACAGAAATAGATGTTCCGGAGTATTCTAATTTGTTAGATCAGGTGAAGAAAAGTAGGTTTTTCATGGGAGACTGGAGCGGATTAACAGTAAGCATTTATAAAGAGAAAAAAAATTCCTTTAATTTTAGCATAATGATAAAATGATATGTTATTTCATTTAGGACATTATAAATTTGAATTCTGAACAAGAAAAGTATGATCTGATTCTAAGTTCAGAGACAATATATAATACAGATTCACTACCAAAATTATATAATGTTATTAAATACTCTTTAAAGCGACCAAGTGGTGTAGCGTATCCTTTTTTTTTTATTATGCACTCTTATTTTACATAACATTTCTTAATAGATATAAATAATTAGATTAATCGCAGCAAAATCAATATATTTTGGCGTTGGTGGTGGCGTATTACCATTTCGCCAATTAATTGAGCAAGACAAAGTATTCGGAATCAAAATTTTTTATAATGCAGAAGCACATGTGAAAAGGGAAATTTTAATGTTGACTTTCTTGGATTCCTTTACCTAATAAACAAAATATTATTTAAACAAAACATTATTATTTGGCTAGTGTTCAATAATAATGGAAGATTTACGAATATATGGTTCAGTAAAAGATAATGGAAAATTTTAGTTTTCAACAGTATGGGTTTACAACTTCATTACTAATTCTAATATCTCAAAAAGTCCCTTATCCTTTTTTTTACTGATTAACTTATACTCTAATTTACAATTTGAGTTACCGTATACAAAGTATATAAAGAATTTAATCATAAGAATTTTTACCGATAAAAATGGCGATGTAATGTGATCATGTAAATATAACACAAGGTTGATTTAATAATTGGTTGGAAAATATCGTATTTATTTTTTAAATTTGAATAAATCAACGCAATCTGCTAAATTAATAATTTTTTTTTTTTAATAATTATAACAAAAACTGTTAACTGATTCGGTTTTAATTTACACCTTGAAACCGCGAGAAGCTCTACGACCACGAGCCTTCTCAAATTTTCTTCCCTTAGATCCGACATAAGGCCTTTATAAAATGAAATGTTTAATTAATATTATACTTAGATTGAATAAGTTAGAGAAATTTCCTTAAACAGTAACTTACTTGGCGTGTTTATGCGGACCCATACCAAAATGTTTAACAGCTTCTCTAGAATTCTTTGAGCCTCTAAGTAAGACCGTATTAGAACCAGTCGGAGCACGAAGAGCTAATTGATCAAGAGTTAAAACTTCTCCACCGGCTTTTAAAATTCTAGCTTTAGCGGTTTTTGTAAAACGGAGTGCTGCAACTGAAAGTTTCGGAACCTCCAATACTCTATTATCATCTGTGACTGTGCCAACAATTACAGCTGTTTTACCAGGTTTATTAGAAAGATTACGAACGATACGAGAAATAGACATTGGTGGTCTATTAATTCGTGACATAAAAAGCCTTTTCAAAATAGCACTATTAAACTTAGAATTTGTTCTTCGAGCTAGAAACCGGTATATCTAATCAGAAAATTAAAAAATTAAAAATTTTCACATTTTGAATTTCATTTTTTCCAAACAAAATCGATGCATACCTTCACTAACAATCGAAGGTAGACATCTTCACTCTTTGGCGCAGTCCGATTCTTTCGTCTCACGTGATGTTTTTTGATGTCAATACCCTAAACGAACGCAATTAAATTTTTGTAAATATCTTAAGCAAGTATTGTCTTCGAATTTATTTTTAGTCCTATTTTTTCATGTTAAATATTTTATTGATTCTACGGATAACTATTAAAGTTAAATTATTCAATAACACGGAAAGCTACTCTTATTTTTGAGATCGCGAATTTAATTAAAAGCTCCAAAAAAAAATTCATCCATCAAATTATCGAATACAGTGAAGAATCTTATTTTTTCACCAGATTTAAGATGATAATTAAATTATTGACATAAAGAAACCTACAGTATTAAAAACATACCATTTCGATTGATCGATTGATTCCTTGGTGAAAATAGAAGGGAGAAATAATTTTTTGTTATTTTTTCCTTTATGCCTTCGAGAAAAAATTCAGAGTAACACGGATCATGACCACATGATATTATTGATTCTGATTCCTAATTCGTTAATATCATCGATTACATCATCGGATCAGACAACTAACGTAATAACGTAATCTGATAACGACAATTTTTCACATTTGTTATCCATTAACCATGAACCAATTTTCGTTAAATTTCGATCGAGAAAACTATCACGAAAAGCCAAAAAATGATATTTTTGCCGATGCCATTACGAGAACTCAGTGAGTTTTTTTTTTCGTCTTTATGAAAGTATCGTGATAACTAATTTTTTTTTTTATATTAGACAACCGATTGTGACTGGTACTTCGGTACTTGCATTTAAGTATAAGGACGGTATAATGTTAGCTGCGGATACATTGGGTGTGTTATTAAGGTCCTTCTTTGGAGATATTTCTTTTCGTAATTCGAGTTTTATTAACCGTTTTGCGAATTCTTCAATTTTTAGCATCATATGGCTCACTTGCTCGGTTTACGAATATTCAACGTCTTTATCCCGTAGGTGATTTTACGATAATCGCTGCTTCAGGAGATATTTCCGATTTTCAATATGTCCAACACCTTTTAGATACTGTGATGTATGTTAATTTCGGAAATGTTATTTTTTCATGGAATTGTTAAATTAATTGATGTTCAGAAAATTTTCGAGACGAATACTTATATTAAAATTTATAGGGTAGAAGAATATTATACAAATGATGGCCATGTCCTTAGAACGCAAAATATTTATGAGTATTTAAGTCGTGTGATGTATGGTAGACGATCTCGGTTTAATCCTTTATGGAATTCTTATGTTGTTGGAGGTTATAACGATGGAGAAAAGTAAGTAGTTCAAATTTTTTTTTTTTGGTATATTATAATATTAATTTTAATTTTTAGGTTTCTTGGATATGTTGATCTCCTTGGAACGACTTATCAATCTTCAACAATCGCTACTGGTTTTGGAGGTTATTTAGCTCAACCAATTTTGCGTAAAGCTGTTGAAGGTAGAGAGGACACACTTACAGAAACTGAAGCCATTGAAATTATGAACTCTTGTATGAAAGTTTTATATTACAGAGATGCAAGAAGTTTTAATAAGGTATGTAAGATATGTTTTATATTATATTCACCTTGGCTATTAATAACTTTAAAAATGTAATAGTTTCAACGTGCCAAAATTACCGCTGAGGGTGTAGAGATAAGTGGACCTTATAAAGCCGAGACACAATGGGATTTTGCTGAAGGGCTCAGAGGATATGGTCCTTAAACGTGTTAAACATTTGGCAAACGTTATAATTGCCGATTTATTTGATTTAATTAGTTATATTAAAACATTCTTACTTTTAAGAAATATGTATTGTGATCAGCTAGATTAATTAATCAATAAAGTTAAATATGATTTTATTATTTTATTTTTAAAATTATTAAATTTTAAAACTATTAATTGAATATAATTAACAAGATTGAGAGAGCGATCTTAATCTTTCAATTTCACCTTTAAGAATATCCAAAGTAAATTTTTCATAATCAATTAATTCCATTTCTTCTTCAGCCATTCTTTTAACTTGCCACCAACACTTATCCATTTCTCTAAAACCTTTCCAAAATAAAGTTTCTTCACTTTCACTTTCATGCATTCCAGCTAAAACCTGTAAAGATCTTAACCATTGAGATCTATAATGATCTTTTTCGCGTTTTGTCGTATTTAATTGAATTTTAAGACTATTTATCTCTTCATGTAAATCCTTAACTAAAGGAGAAGAATTTCGATTTTCTAATTCTTTCGATTTTTGATCAAATTGCCTATCTAATTCTAACCAATGTCTTTCAAAATCTTTTTCAGCCCTTAATAAACTTTCATCTCTTGTTTTAAAATAAAGAATGTATTGTTGCAATTGACGATCTATTGACTTTAATTGTTGCACTTTAAATTTACCAAAACTTTGACGAGTAACATTTTTCTTCTTTACGGCAAGTGTTTCTTGAGTAAATTTCATATTTTCTGCCGCTTTTTTAAATAGATCTGAACGAAATGTTGAAATGTGTTCATCATAATTATTTACGGTAGAATTTCCATTTTCATTCTCTTCTATCGGCGATTTCGCAGTACCATCATCATTTTCTTTCTCAATTTCATCCTTAATAGGTTGACGTTCTTTAAATAGTTCTGACAATTCGGTAACACTCTGTGATTTTGTTAATCCTCTTTGTTGTTGTACTTGAATTGAATTATTTTCACCATAATCATCAAGTCTTATTAAAACATTTATATGACCCATTTCACGAGAATTTGTAGATACTCCAATGGCTTTAATAGGTGCTAAGGTAGTAAAAGTTTTAATTTCAGTATTAGTTTCATCATCTATTACAGGTTGAGACAAGAATATTTCTTCCAAACGTAAAGTAGCAACTCCAATTTGAGATTGTTTTTGATCTATAGTTTGCCATATTTCCATAAGTAATGGTACAGCTTCAAAATATCTATTAAGCCTTTGTGGAGTCATTATAACATCAATCGTATTTGTACCATTTACTAACAAAATGTCTTTACATTCTTCAACATTTGAAAGTACTTGAGTTGATTTATTGTGCGTAATACCTAATGCAGGATAACTGTATCTGACATAAATATTTTTAATATTCTTTTTCAACTGAATTGACTCTAAATCGATTAATACTCGATACTTATGTTCACTAATTTGTTCTCTAATTTGTTGTTGTTGATGACCATTTTCTTGAACATTTTCAATAAGAAAAGACTTTGCTCTTTCCATAACGTCAAATGAAGTTTCTGTTACAGAATTATCATCAGAGTTCTCTCTCATTACGGTAAGATAAATACCAATTCTAGCAGTTTGTACATCAGCTGATACAGGTAATTCTCTTTTCGAATTATACATTGGGCATACTCTATCAAGAGAACGTGGTTCCCCAGTTTTACTATCGAATAATCCTGTTAAAGGAATTTCAGCAAATCCAATAATTTGATTATCATGATATAAATTAATTACAACTTTTGATTCTTTAATTAAAAAAGATTTTAATTCTTCTAGTGAAGATTGTATCCTAAATGTAAAAGTTTCAGGATTAATATTTGGATGTGAAAGATCATAAAATTTGTTTGAAGTTATAACACTTTCGAATACGGTAAATTGAAAATAGAATCCATGATTCAGAGTTGATAAATCTAATTCAGGAAATTGTTGTTGTGTAAGAAATGATATCGTATCTTGTAACAATAATTGTAAATTAGCTCCAAAATTAATTGTAATAGAAAAGAGAAACATTTCAGTTTCATTATCTCCAATTTTATAAAATTTAATTACTTCCGATGATGATGTTAATGGTGATTTTCCTAACGGACTTGGTATATAACTACCAATACTATTATTAACAGATGGTGTTGTAGGTGGAGATAAATTTGGTAAAATACAGAATGATATTTTAACTTCGGGTAAAAGGCCTCCTTTTTCTTTCTTATTAATAAGCGATAACCATCTTTCTTTGCCGCTTTTATCAGTTGCTATTCTTAAATCTAACATCGAATATCCTATCAGTTCCCCTCTATTATTATTACCATTACCTTTTGTACTATCTATTGAAAAACATTGTAATTTTAAATGTGCCCATTGTGATCTTAATATATGTAAAGTTTTTTGATCTACTTCCCATGCTAATTCTGTATCCCATATTGGAAATGATACTTGTTCTACATTGTCTGTTGATAATATTGAATTAGAATCTGGACTTATTGTTGAAAGTATTTCGTCCGTAAATCTACATTCTACATAAAGTTTTCTATTTGGATTCTGAGGAAAATAGCGCCCTATAATGTAATATATGTATATATATATATTTTTTAAGCAGAATAATTTAATTTTTTATTTTTTTAAAAACTAACCTTCTATAATTGTGACAACAATCGTACATAAAGGATTAAATTTTGACATTAGGAAACGATAGTAACGCTAGTCACGCTAGTCGGCAATATTTTAAAGACTCACGTACATTGTTACACAACGTCATAGTAGATAATCAAAAAAAAAAACTGAAATCACGTTCCCGTATTGTATCAGTCTTGCAATGGAAGTGGTAAAAACTGAAAAAAATGATGGCAAAAGACAAAAGTTTAATAAAAATGAATCAAAAATAAAATCTTTAGAAATACTTTCAAATGGTCAAGTTTTAAAGAAAGGGAAAAAAAGAAAGAGAAATAAAAAGAAAGGACAAAATCAGCAAAACCAGCAACAAAACGAACAATCACCGCAAAATATTAAAATTGAAGAAAAAGAGGAATCAGATAACTCTGAAAAAGAATCTCAAGAACAAGATCATAAAGAAGAATCTAAAATTGAAATTGTTGACGCAAGATCAGCGAATTCAAATTCTTCAATTGATAATGAAACAAAAAATTTATTGGATCATGATGTTAAAATGAATGATGGTAATGACTCTGAAGATGATGATGATGATGAAAGTGATGAGGAGGAAAAAGTTAGTAAAAAACAAAAGACCGTTCAATCAAATGTGGTCGATGGATTTGGTGAAGTCCCTCCACTTGAAACTAATGGTAAGTATTTAAGTATTCTGCTTGGTATCAATTTTCACAATGCTTATATATAAACTTTTTATAAACGACAATAGAAACCGCCTCAGAAACCATTAATTACGATTTTGAATCTTTGGATATTTCAGAACCTACTAGTAAAGCTATTAAGGAGATGGGCTTTACTAAAATGACTGAGGTTCAAGCAAGAACAATACCACCGTTAATGGCTGGTCGAGACGTTCTGGGTGCCGCTAAAACAGGCAGTGGCAAGACTTTGGCATTTTTAATTCCGGCTGTTGAGATGCTTCACAAATTGAAGTTTAAGCCTAGAAATGGTAATATTTTATTTAGTGATTACTTTATAAAAAATTTATAATAATTTTATTTCTTTTGATAGGAACTGGAGTAATTGTTATTTCTCCAACAAGAGAATTGGCTCTTCAAATTCTTGGAGTTGTAAAAGAATTGCTTCAATTTCATAACCAAACATTTGGAATAGTAATGGGTGGAGCAAATAGACAAGCAGAAGTTCAAAAAATAACTAAAGGGGTAAATTTATTAATTGCCACTCCTGGAAGATTATTAGATCATCTTCAGGTATTTTATTTAAAGAATTCAAGTGTGAAAATTAATTAAATTGTAATTAAGTTTTTTGAGTTCTGTCTCACAGAACACAAAAGGGTTTGTGTATAGAAACCTCAAGTCTCTTATTATAGATGAAGCAGATCGTATATTAGAAATTGGTTTTGAAGAAGAAATGAACCAAATTATTAAAATTCTTCCGAACGGTCAGTTTTTACATATTATAAGTGTCGAATTAATTATTATAATTTATTGACTTTTTATTTTATATATATATATATATACTTTAGAAAATCGACAATCAATGCTCTTTTCCGCTACACAAACAACTAAAGTTGAAGATCTCGCACGAGTATCTTTGAGACGAGGACCAATATACATTAATGTGGATGAAAAAAAAGAGACAGCTACAGTGGAAGGGCTTGTTCAAGGATATGTTGTTTGTGACAGTGATAAAAGATTTTTATTGTTATTTACATTTTTAAAAAGAAATTTAAAAAAGAAAATGATTGTATTTTTTTCAAGTTGTAATTCTGTCAAATATCATTCTGAATTATTAAATTATATTGATGTACCGGTATTAAGTTTACATGTAAGTGCTTTTTCTTTTTGTTATACGGCAAATTAAAATTTACTTATGTTTATTTTTCTTATTTTAAAAAGGGAAAGCAAAAACAAACAAAACGTACAAATACCTTTTTTGAATTTATTAATGCACAACATGGAATTCTTCTTTGTACAGATGTAGCAGCAAGAGGATTAGACATTCCTGCAGTAGATTGGATCATTCAATATGATCCACCAGATGATCCACGTGATTATATTCATAGAGTTGGTAGAACTGCTAGAGCTGGTGGACATGGAAAAGGTTTATTATTCTTATTACCAAGTGAATTAGGATTTTTACGTTACCTTAAACATGCAAAGGTACCATTAAATGAATATCAATTCCCTCCTAATAAGATTGCTAATGTTCAAACACAGGTATATATTTATACATTTATTTTTTATATGTTATAAAGTAATCTCATTTTTTTTTCCTTTCTCATTATGAAATAGCTTGAAAAACTTGTTGAAAAAAATTATTATCTTCATGAATCAGCTCGTGATGGATTTAGATCTTATTTAACGGCTTATGCTTCTTATTCTCTTAAATCGATATTTAATGTGAATAAATTAGATCTTCAAAAAGTTGGTAAAGCATTTGGATTTAAAATTCCGCCTAAAGTACATATTAATATAGGTGCAAGTGGTAAAGGTTCAAAATTTGAAAAACGTGGTAGAAATAGTAAGGGATTAAATAATGTTGATCACATTGCAAGACAGAGAAACAATACTTTTAAAACGAATAAAAATAAACAGTGGAGTAAATAAATATTTAAAATATTTAATTACTTTTAATTTTTTTTTTAAAGTTTTAATATTAATGTCTGCAGTTTATTTGATTAATAATAGCAATTCATGCATTCATATAATTGCATCGTACAACAACAAAAAGGGAATTTAATCTTGCAATTATTGAGTAATTAGGCCAATATCAAGATAATAATAATAAATACTTTTAAACGTTCACGAAGAGAAAATGACATAGCTTTTTTCTTCTAATGGAATGTAATGTTCGATCATAACCTAAATTTAAATATATATATAAATATGATATCTAAGAATATACTTATACATTTACAGTACAATTGGTGATGATTTAAAATATCAGCGATGTTCATCGCTGAACTCTGAAATGAGAAATAAAATTCCATTTGTATACTTAAAAACATTTAAACTTCATCACTCTCATAATTCTGGATATTCTACTTCTGAAGGTATGAGGGAATTGTTTAATTTTTTTTTTTTTCAAAAAAAAGAAACATATAGCAATTATTCAATTCCATAATTGTCGTGCATATGATTTCTTGGTGCACGCGGCATCATTTGTGCTTGTGAAGGTGCGTTAGAAGGATGACCCATCATTTGAGCACCACCTTGCATTAATTGAGGTACAATCATAGGTTGAACTGTTGATTGCATTCCATTCATTTGCATATTTACACCGGAAGGGACCATATGCATATTAACAGGTTGAACGTTAAGAGCTTGCATATTGACGCCAGTTGTCATTGGACCCATTTGCATTGTCATTTGAGGTACAGTCATTCTCATAGTATTTTGAGGAGCCATTTGTGGAATTCCATTATAATTACCCATATTAATGGAATTATCAAATTCATCAACCAATAGATCTTGGAAATAAACATGTTTTAATGCGTTTTTTGCCGTGATTCTTTTATCAGGATCATAAACTAACATTTGCATAAGTAAATCTAATCCATGACGGTCAATCATTGGAAGATATGCACTCATGTCTTGTGGAGGATATTGTGGATATGGTTTATGATATTCTGGATATTGTGATACTCCTTGCCATGTTTGTTCATTTGGAGTCCCCATAATACGAAAAACTTTGAGCAATTGGTCTTCATTAGTAGTCTACATCGAAATATCACGTGATGATGTAGGAGTGTTAATAGAGTTTAACAAGCACACTTGAAAAAAGAGAACAAAATGATTTAAATTTATAACTTACACCTGGAAAGAGGGGACGTCCGGTATACATTTCAGCCATAATACAGCCCGCAGACCATATATCAATTGAAGTTGAGTATGATCTGGAACCTAAAAGTACATCGGGAGAACGATACCATAAAGTAACGACTTCATTTGAAAAAGTTGTTACAGGAATTCCAAAAGCACGTGCCAAACCAAAATCAGCGAGTTTAAGTTGACCATTTTTATTAATTAAAAGATTTTGAGGTTTAAGATCGCGATGAAGTACTCTATTTTCATGACAAAAATCTATTCCAGTTAACATTTGATACATAAATAGTTTAATTGTCATTGAATTTAATGCTCCATGATTTCCATGAATATCCATATATTTTTTAAGGTCTTGATCCATATATTCAAATACAAGCATAAGCTTATTTTCTGTATGAATTACATCTTTCAATTTCACAATATTGGCATGTTTTAATTCCTTCATTAAAGATATTTCTCTAATAGCTGTCGAAGGTGCTCCTTCTTCCGAATCCAAATGTATTTCTTTTAAAGCCACTGTTTCTCCCGTCCTTCGTTCTTTGCCTTTATAAACCGTAGCATATGTACCTTCTCCTAATTTTTCTAACCTAACGTATTCTCTTTGCTGCTGTGCCATTCAGTCAATTAAATAATTTTTCACTTGCAGCCTATTTTTTTAAAAAAACGCGCAAGATTAAAAATCTTTTTTGAATATAAAGTTGAACGCTAAGGCGATGCTACTTATAGTTTTTTTCTCAAGGGGTAATATTGACCCTTCGGAAAAGAACATTTTTATACTGCGGTTTGCCAAATCCGCTGTTAATAATCACAATAATCACATGTGGCTGATTTGCGTTCCCTTTTTGAACATAAATGTGTGCTACGTTGGCCCAGTAATCCAGTAATACATAGTAATACAGAAGAAGCCGTTGCAGTTGGCTAACTCTAGGAACTCTCTACAAACCTTATCAAGAACTTGCAAAAAAAAAAGATCAGCTCTGCTTACCATATAGTCAATATTTTTCTAGCGTAAGTTAGTCAAGTTACTAATATTTCACAAATATATAATAGTTTATTTAATTTAAATTGCAGTATAGAATTTTGTGATCAATACAAACTAAGTACCATCTAATATTAATATATCATACCCTAATCTGGTCCTGCGTATTTTATTACCAGAATCTAGAAGCATATATATTATGAAATAATTTTTGTAGTAGCGTATAGTAAAATTTCTTTTTGATATGGTCTTAAACGAGAATTCAAATTTTTTCACCTGTGTATATAAAGTGCTTAAGCATCTCAATGTTACATCTGTTTTGAATTACTTTAATTAGGTCTTTAGTTCTAGTGGTGAGTTTTTATATTACATAGGTCATAGGGATAGATATTTTTTATGTATAAAATGTGTAAACTTATGTTCTTTTTATAATAAAGATTATTTTTTATTAAGAAATATAGAAAAATTTGTGTTTTACATTGATAATAATTTGTCGCCGTGTTGGATTGACTTATGAGAGTAGGTTTAAAAATTAGGTATCAAAATCTTTCTGATTGGTCCAGTAATTGCTTAAGTATACTCATTTGATGATTATCTTTTATATTAAATCTTTGTCTTTTAAAAAACAAGTTTAAACAATGACTGAAGAGACTAATGCTGCTCCAGTGGAACCCGCTGCCGTAGAAGAACCACTCGACTTAGTTCGTTTATCACTTGACGAAAGAATATATGTAAAGTTACGTGGAGATCGTGAATTACGCGGTAAACTTCACGTAATACTTTATATTAAACTTTCTCGTGTCTATTTCTGATAACTGAATTAATGATTTAAACTTTACGCGTGTTATTTTATTAAAATGTCTATTTATTTAAATAAACGCGTTTCTGAATTTGTGAATTTAAAACTTTGATAGGCTTATGACGGTCATCTCAATATGGTATTGAGTGAAGTTGAAGAAACTATTACGATTGTGGAAATTAATGATGAAACTTATGAAGAAGTCATTCGTGTAAGTAAATATGGCAGCAACATCATTTGTTCATGTTTCTTGAAAGTATCACTTTATCTATTTATTTAAATATTTTAGACTGTAAAAAGAACCGTAGAAATGTTATTTGTACGCGGTGACGGCGTTATTCTGGTAAGTTTTTTTTTTTTTAGAAATATTTAATACATCTTAAATAATTTTATAATTATTTAATTTAGGTTTCTCCTCCAGTTAGAACTGGTTCATAACAAATGTCCTATTAGTGATTCCATTTTATTTCCGTTGTTTTATTAGAAACTAACATTAATCTTTCTTTGAGGTTTTCTTTTTGACTTAATATATAATATTAATAATGTTGTATCAAAGTTGTGATTAATAAATGTAAAAAGTCTCCCTTTCGTAATTCGTATTACTTGAAGCAAATTATGAAAAAACATGATGTAAAAAAAGAAGTATATGTTTTAAGTCATTTTAAGTGCTTCATAAGTTGAAATCATAATGGCACAACTAGCTGCTACTTTGGATATTCTAAGAGTTCCGCCTAATTTAAATAAAATCAATATTAAAATTAATAATTTGATGTGAGATAATAAGGAAGAAGAAAAGATATTGTTCAAGTATTTACCCCTAAATAACCCTTTATAGCCTTCCTCCTGAAAAATTTGTTTTAATACTTTATGCATATGTGGTCTCTTCACTATTAATAAAATTAAAAATCAATAAATTGTTTGATCCCTAAAATAAAGGAAAAATTACAATTTAACCTACTCTGATCACTTGTTACTTGTCGTCTGGTCTTCGCTACATCAAAAGGCGTTGTCAACGCGGCAGCAATCTTTGGAATAAAAAAGAATTGGTAATTAAAAAATGTGAATAAATATTAAATTTTTATTTGATAAAATTATCATACCGATCCGGAAGTAGCTCCACTTAAAAATGAAACTGCAAATTTATTGTCAATGTTATTTTCATACATATAATTATTTAAATATCTTTTTGTCAATTCATATCCAGTCCAATAAATTGCTTAAAAATGATAAATAAAATTAAATAAGAAATAAGATATAAAATGAATTCATAGAAGGTTAATTAATATTCATACCAGAAAATGGTACATCCCGATATAATGAAGGTTCTAAACCTCGCCATAGTGATGAGACACCATTAACCTTTGCCATTTTTTGTATTCCTTTCATCACCTCTTTTAAACCATTTACACCTTCAGGTCCTTGCATTCTTGTACGAAACAATTCTAGCGGTGATATCACAGTAACAGCAATTGCTGGATAAAATTGAAAGATATATTTTTTAGTATTAAAGTGTATATAATTAAAAAAAACATAATGTACGGGATAACATACTTCTTGCCGATGCCCCAGCAATCAAAGGTGAATAGGTTTCAGAATATTTTCCTTTCCAATTCGCCCATAGCGAATCTCGCAAATAATCATAACCTACGAAATATATTACAGTTACAGGAATGGACATTACACTATTATAAGACATGTATAACAAACATATTAATAAAATATCAAATATATAAATTATTATAACCAAAAAAATGAAAACAAAACGAAACTAACAGTGCAGGTGATAATCCTCGCCATAATGATGTAATTCCTTCATGTCGAACAATCTTAACCATTCCATCCTAATTAAAAAAACTTGTTAAATGTAAGACATATTTGCTTTCGCGAAGAAACCAAAAATTTACCAATGAACCATTAAGATTTCCAGCTATCCGGCGACTAGGAGTTAATGTAGTAGCACCAGCTACAGTACAACTAAGTCTCGATGCTTGATTAGAAGAAACACGAGGCAAATTTAAATGGCAGAGAAATTCTCGTCTTAAATTCCGTGTTGAAAACAAAACTTCGCTACAACAACTTGTACTTGTTAATGAAGTAGGGAACAAACTTTGAGATTGTAACCTAGTTTTAATAACATCAAACGGGGTGGCTAAAAAAATTCATGATTTTTATAAAATGGAATAAAAGGTTAATCAGTTGTCCTAAAATCGCGTAAGAAACATTAATTCTTACTGAATAGCGAAGTAAATAAAGCTCCACTACAAGCCGCAACCATTCTTTTTAAAGGTGTGGCATGTGATCGAGAATCTGTATCATTTTGAAAAGGAGTATTAACTACTGTAGAATCATTATCTAGTTCAACGGTTTCCAAAGAAGTGTCCATTATATTTTATTAATGAAAGTACTTATTTATTTTTTTTTTATACTTAAATAATAATTTTTTACAAAAAATTATTAAAAAAAAAATAAACTATTAAATTACAACTTCGCAAAGCGCGAAAAAAAAAGATTTGTAAATCTACATCAGATTACTAATTATTACATCCGATAATATTTGATAATACATTTTTTGTAACATAGTTACGTAGATCAAAAATTTCGACTATCCTGCGGTGAATTTCAGGCGTTATTTATTATAATAACAGTAGTATAAATAACTAATCAAAGGTCCGGCGACTATAAGATTCGGAAATTATTAAACAAATATGATGATACAAACATTATAACTTTTTTAAAAAAATGTCTAGACATAATATGGCAAAGACTTAAATTTTTTTACCTATAGTTTTTTAAATTTTAATGAATAATGATGTAATGCTTGTATACTAATTAATGTTTTCTTTTTATTCAGTAAATCACAATACAGTTTTATTATTAATTATACTTACAACGTTATATTAAAAGAGATTAAAAGTCTAATCTCTTTGAGAAAATACGGCGGCATATTTGAATTGGTAAATGTGCCGTAACTTGTATATGTGCCGTAAATAGGCACTATAATTTGTGTATATCAGATATGTAAAATTTAAATTTTCATACTATTAAAATTATTGTTTCATGAAATTTATAATCAAAGTAGTTTTAAAATTTTGATAACAAATTCGGAATTTAGCCATGTATACTATTAAATTAGACTATTTATACTTTACGGCATCATTGGCCAACAGTAAAAGTTATGCCAATAATAACATTAACGGCAACATTGGGTTTCACACGGTTTTGCCGTAACTGTGGCCAATTCATTGGGACTACCCCACTACTCAAAATGTACACAGTGAAATTCGAACCTTGATATCATAATCTATAATTAATTTACCCTCGATATAACGGATTTCTCGATATAACGGATTTTTGACAAATTTTACTAATGGAACGGATGGCTCCATAAATCACCCTCTATATTAAGAACATCTCCCTATTTTTGCTCAACCTACATATTATTTTTATTAATAAATTAACTCTTAAATAGTCACAACTCACAACTCTATATAATTACTGTTTACTAAATTTTAAAAAATAATTCAAGTATTTAAATATTTTATTATGAGTAATTTATAACTCACATTAGAGTTTACATAAAGTTTATATATTATATTATAAAGGTATTTTCAAAATTTTATTATTTTGCATATTTCTGTTTTTTAAGAGATTTACTAATTAGATTTTGGTAAAATTTATATCATTGGATTTATTTTAAAAGGAATCTAATGGTAATAAAATTGCATTTTTATTATCAATATTAACTGAATTATTGTAAAAATACATTTTATTATATATTATTTGTAATTAAATAAAAGGTATTCAGGATTTTAGAATTTAGACAAATATTTTACTAACAAATCACATTTAATTAGTTGTTATCAATAGGATGAATAAATTTTCTTTTTCATATATTATATAGTAATAAATTATCTATTTATTATATTAGATATTTTATATTTAATATACATTACCTAAACAAAAGTAGCAGACCTTCCATTATTGTTAATTACTTAAAATTGTATATAATAACAATACTTGAAAATTGAACTTTTAATATATAATAATGTAAATTTCAAAGAATATATATTTAAAATTTTACATTTCTAACTTTCACATAACTATATTAATTAAAAAAGAAATTTGGTAATTGTTACATTATTTAGACAAAAATAGTGGACTCTTTATTTTCATTAATTACTTAAAAATTACATATAATAATAATGCTTAAAATTTAATATAGGATGTAAGTTATTTATTTAATTTTATTAAAATGTAATGATATAGACTTTAAAGAATATAGGGTTAAATTTTATGCCTTTAACTTTCATACAACTGTATTTATTAAAAAATCAAAATTCTTGATCATTAATTAAAAAATGAATGATTTTTATTCTTTTAGATACTAATTGTTAATTTGTAAAAATATAAAAATTTATATACAATGGCTTTTAAACAATATACAAATTAAAGTATGTTATTATATAAAATTTTGAAAATATAAAAGTACAGTATTGTTGTTTTTAAAAAGAAATTTAATGTATATACATTAATGTACTATTACATATTAAAATTTCTGTTATCATTATTATATACAATCTTAAATAAATAGGCAATAACAGACTATTTATTTAATTTTATATATAATTATCAATATTTTTCCTTTTTAAGTTTATTTAATTAATATAGTTATATGAAGGCTAGAACTGTGAAATTTTGAATATAGAATCTATGTCATTACATATTAAAATTTCAAGTATTATTATTTATTATGTATAATTTTGAGTAATTAACAAAAATAGAAGGTCCATTACTTTTGTCTATGTAGTGTATATATTAATTAGAAATTATATACAATTTTAAATAAACTGGCAATATTAAAAACTATATATTTATGGTATATATATAAATGTTAAAATTTCTTTTTTTAAAAGGTTATAATTTATAAATAAAATTTAATTAGATATTAATATGAAAATATTACTATTTACTACTTACCGGATGGCAATTGTTACCAAATATTTATTCAATTTCATATATAAATAAAAACCGTATAATATTAGCTATAAAATTTCTTTACTATTGTAAGTTTTATTAAATCAGTATGATCTATTTATTTAAAAAGGTATTATAACTATCTTTTAATTATTTTTTACTATTGGTTTTCCTTTTACCTCTTCCATTTTCATTTCCAGTTTCTGATACAAAATTAGAATTATCCCCACCTAATAATTTATGTTTAATTGAATTTTTAAATCTTTGAGATACCATACTGGGTCCACGTTGAGCAAGTAATTTATTTCGAGAACAAATTGATGACCAATGACCGGATAATTCAATAATTATTGAATCCAATAATGCTTGGTCTTCTTCTTTTGTCCATGCTCGTTTTTTGCCACGTGAGGCAGATGCTACAATAGGTTGACCCGAAGTTGAATCATCATAAGGAAAAGACGACGGAGGAGGAAAAGGTGAAGGTGACCGTTGATTATTAGACTGATTTGTGATATTTTGTGAAGAATATAGCGAGTATTCTGGAGAAGAATGACGATCCTTTATAATATCAAAAAAAGAAAGTTTAACACTGAAATTATTTTCCATTAAATATATAACATATTATGTTCCAAAAAAAATTACAGATTCGATTTTAATTTTGTCTGTTAAATCAATTATTTCATCGAAACTTTTATATGTTTTCCGTTTTTTAGGCATATTGTGTTAAAAAATATTAAAGAAAAATGAAAAAAAAAATTTAAATCAAGGAAAAAACAAACATTATATTTATCATGACGACATTATGACCGATTAACTTTGTATGTGATTTATGTGATTGATTTTTTAAAAAAATATTATTGATTAATATTTAGTGTTTAAAAAAAAAAGGTAATTTAATATAATTCAGCAAATCATATTAACGTTACTACAAATATTTCGCCATTATGAACCCCATATAAATTTAAGCAACTTTATAAATGTAAATCATTCACAAGTTTACTAAGAACGGCCAAATAACAGAATTGAAATTGGGCAAATGATTCTACCATAGAAATACGTTGTTGTCTAAGATGTTGAATAACGTTAAATATTAAATCGGTAGGATCACTTTGTTGTAAATCTGGTAATAAAGCCAAGGTAGAATCCACTGTACAAAAAGTTCCAGTCCTACCACATCCTGCACTACAATGTATAACAGTAGGTCCAATATTTCCATTATTTAAACAAGTATAATATTGAATATATTCATTTTTTTTCATAATTAAATTGATAATAGGTTCAGGCGAATTAGGTAGTCCATGATCTGGCCATGCAAGTGATTGTAATTGAGTTATTTGTCTATATTCTGTGTTTAATCCTCCTATTTTTTCAAGTTTTAATGTACGTATATAACAATCTATTCTTTGATCCAAAATTTCAGATTCCAACGTGATTTTTAATCCAATATCTTTAATTATCACGTAATATCCAACACTTTCAGGCCAATAAGTTTCACATTTAATTTTTCCATCCTCAATTTGTTTTGTTAACATTACGATGACATTGGTATTCCGTTCCCAAATCATTAACCAAAAATCTTCGATGGTTTTATTCAGCGGACCTTGAGTCGCAATATACCTTCTAACATTATTTGGTGCTTCAATATAACTTGCATTAATATAATCTGTTTTATATGGTCTTTGTTGTAATAACTTTACTCTATTATGATTAAATGGTAAGATATCACTATATCTATTATAATCCATTGATAAACTATCAAATGCCACGGACATATTGAATGGATCGTTTGGATTATTTGCTGCTTGACGACATCTTGCTACTTCATTTTGATTTAGAAGTTGAAATTTAACTGTTAACATCTTCTCATTCAAGTTTTCACTGTTCGATAAAAATTGTGGCAAAAAAACACGTACTACCGAGTCTTCTGACATCTTTGGGTTAAATTACAAAAATAAATAAAGGTTGTTAACTCAATAAATCGAAAATAAAGAATAAATTATAACTTTAATACTTACGCTTGAAACAAAACGCGTACTTGCAATAACATTCACATGGTCAAATATGACGTGATTATGTGACGCGAACAGTTTACACGTGACTTATTAATTAATCATAAAAAGTATGTATAATTTTCGGAGCGAAGGACAATTATATGTCGTCAACTTGCATAGCATCAATCAAACATATTTTGGTAACAATTGTTAATAATGTCATAAATTTATTCCAATCGCGATTTGTTGAAATACAAATCAAAAACAATAATATGTGAACGTAAATCGGCAAATCGCGCCTTTTATATTAAAGTTACATTGCTCGTTTGCCAATTTGCGAAAAGTTTTAGCAGAATGCGCCAAAAATAAAATTTTGGGATGATCGAATTTATTTAGCAAAATTAATTAGTTATCAAATACTGCGACATCCCCGGTCCAAAGAACCTTCTGTGATATTCTATATCTCGTGTTATTAAGTGATTAGCTTTTTTTTTACTGGCACGCTCTATGACGATTATTGCGCAACTATTTACCTATTTTGAATTCAGTTACATCATATTATGTCAAAGTTATTTATATGCTAGTTGAAGAATAGAAATAATTTATTATTTATTAGATGAAGGGAAAATATTAAATAAGTACCCAGGGTTTTTGATGATTCGATAATAAAAATAGCCCATTCGTATGGCTTTGGTATAGCCAATTATTTTACGCTTTCTTCCTATATTTGGAACGTATGCAAGGCAAGTATGACATCATTAGAACGTTATACGGATCGGACTTTGAATATAGTAATCGAAAAAAAAAAATGAAAAATTAAAAACAATGCTTGATAATTCTGTTTTAATCTACGCGGATCGACAATCTTTATTTATCGATTGAATTGATGAATCAAAAAAAATTTCTGCATTTTTTTTAGGCGCAAAAATTTTTTTTCCGGTTCAATTTAAATCGAATTTTTTGGATTTTTCTTCCCTAATTTTCTCGAAGATAATTTTAATTGTGTAGTTTATCCATTTTTATCCATTTTTATTATAGTCGATTTACATTTAAGACGAAAATTCTCCGTTTTCTTTATATTAGTAATTTATTTCTACCCATGGCTTTAATAAATCGTAAAGTTTCTTTGAATAAAATGCTAAATTTTTGTGCCAAATCATTTTCTTGGAATTTTTATAATAAGGAAAATATTATATATATATATATATATATATACATCCCTTCTTTTCTTTTTCTGTACGAGGTATCATTATTTTATTTAAATAAAGTCTTTCTTTAGTAATTTCCTTCTACTAAATGAAATNTTTTTTTTTTTTTTTTTTTTTTAATAAAGAAAGAAAATTGATATAACATATATATATATATATATGTATATAATATATACATATATTATTCAAATAAATTCCTTAACGGAGTAAGATAATAAATGTCTTCCCTTGAAACAACGAAACTTGGTGACAATATTACCAAATTACCAATAAATAGTACGACGACTGTTGAAAAATGTGAGAGTAGTTCACTAACGAAACGTGAGATTGATGCCGAAGACTCTGAAATGAACTTGTTTCTCTCAGACGAGTCAAGTGGTAATGACCAAGAAATGGACGAAGCAAGCGGTGAAACAAGTGGTGAAACGAGTAATGGTAGTAATAGTAGTAACTCAAAAAAAAGTAACAGTTCCATTTCTACTATGGAAGCATGGTTTAGAGAATTTAATCAAAATACCAAAGAATTGAATAAGAATAATTTTGATGATGATGGTAAGTTAAGGCATAAAAAGATGTCAAATAGGATAAGAATGATTAAAAATTGTTTTGAAATGATTATGATTATTATACGATTTAGATAGCGAAACTCCATATTACGTAAATTCTTATAAAACTCATCCTAAACATCCTAAACATCCCAAACTTGTGTCAAACCAACAGCCATCTTTAATATCAAGACATCAACATTCTCAACGTACTGGACATCATGCGGTTTCTAATCATGGAAATTTTCATGAAAAATGTGAAGAATCTTCGGGAAGCGATTCGTATCGTTCTGTTATTGATGATTTAACCTTGAAAAGTAGGTTGAAATTGCACGATTTTTTTTTTTTTCGTTGATTTAATAACTAATACGTGTTCTTTTGTGAAGATCAAAAATTACGTCAAAAACTTCGAAAATTAGAAAGGATTCATTCAAAGTCATTACATAAAGAAAAATTATTTGAAGTACGATATTATCAAATGCCAAGGTGAAGATCCTTTTAACATTATTAATATTATATTATTTATGTATTTTCTCAGGCTAATCGAATTCTAATTTTAGAGGAAAACGACATGAGTTGGAAGAATATTTAAGACAATTCGCTGCGCAAGTAAATATTATTTATCGCTAAAAAGAAAATATTGTAATAGCTTTCATAGCTTTTATGAGTTAGTAACTAATTTTTATTTCACTTTTTTACTTTCTACTTTTTTAGTTATCAACACCCAACTCGAGTTCCACACAAAATTCAACAAATGTGAATGATTCTACAGAAAATTCTTTATCTCTTGATACTTTAAGTATTAAAGCAAGTGATAAATCAAAGATGAAACAAGTTGTTAGGGCAATCGAAAATGTATTTACTACAAAACCATCATTAGATGATCATTATCTCAAAGATCAGGAAGATGCGGATCCCCAAGGATACGTTTACTTGAATCTTTTAACGAACATGGCACAATTACATACAATGAGTGTCACTTTACCTTTTGTTAAACAAGCTATTCGAACGTTTTCAAACTGTTTAGAATTGAATGAAGATGATACAAAAGTTCGATGGCGTACGGGTCTAGATCATATTAAGCCTGATCAATTTAGTTTAAGTGGAGGAAGTAGTGAAAATTTATCAAGAAATGGGGGTGTAAGCGAAATTAGTAGTAGCACTGGTGATAAACAAAGTGATTCTTCACCATCGAATCCTTTGTCTGAATCGATTCAAAATTATTCTTTAGATCAAAAAAATTCTGCAAATGCATATATCACACCATCATCTTTAACTTCTTCTAATACTAACAATCAACAAGTTAAATCAACCCCTCAAATAACTCATTATCGGCCTGTATTTCTTCACCGTAATGCTAGTTCATCATCTTCATCTTCGAATGAAACTAATAGTGAAAATGATCAACACGATGGTCCCGTTATTTACTATGAAGGTGGTTTATTTTGTACTGATTTTAGTAGAGATGTGATAATGGATGATGATGATAAACCAACAACTTCATCTGGAACTCAATCTTCACCGGCACTTGATAATTCAATCGAAGATGACAATATCGATATTTTTAAGGAGAGATGGAATATACCTCATTATAAAAGAGCGACGAATTCTATTTTAGGTGGAAACAATACTATTTTGATGGAAATAAGTGATATTGGGCAAGAAACAGATGAAAGGTACGTACAATTTTTATATCTGATTCATGAGAGTATTCTTTTTTTATAAAAATAACAAATTATTTTCTCTGTTTTATCAAAGTTTAACGAAATTATGTGATATTTGTGGTCATAATGATCATTGTTCATTAAGTTGTTCACATATTTCTGTTGATAACACGATGATTGCAGTAGATGATCGTCATAAAGTGAATTCTATAGGTATAAATGATGGATTAAATAAGATTTTAATGGAAAAGGATATCGAGTTTAATCATCAATCAGAAAAAAATTATGGTGAAATTAATGATTGGAATGATCAAGTATCTAAATGTATACCAGATTATAAAAGATTACACACAACTAAAGTTCCTGGAATTATTACAGAAGATAATTTTATGTTATTAGTACAGACTTCTCATCCTCCGGAAAAAAAAATTTCTCGTTCTAAAGAATCTTTAGTTGATAATGAGATAAATTTAAGCTCATCAAGTAACAGTAGTAATAGTAGTAGTACAGATATGGGACAACAAAACAATGAAAGACCACAACAATCATCAAAATCACATAAAATTATTTCAACAAAATTATTTCAATTACCACCTTCTATGAGTCCTCAACCAAGAACTTCGCCACCACCAGGAGTGAGAAGAACTTCATTTGCAACAAGATCAAAAACATCATCTTCAGATAGTGGCGGATCATCTGGTTACGGGTCATCATCATCACCATATTCAAACAATTTTTCGGAACCATCATCTTCAGAAACTTCAAGGGATAATTCATATTTATTAAAAAACAATACTTTACTTCAATTATCAAGATCTAATAATACAAATTCAAAATGTTCCCAATATGATGAGATTCAAGATATGGAACTCGACTCTCTTTCATCGGATTCATCTGATCCTTCTCCTTTTATAAATATTGATGCCGATGAGGATGAAGAATTAGAAGTTAAAGACAATGAAAATAATAAATGTCGTAAGAATCGTGTTGAAGAAAGTGTATTGGGGATGAATTTAAGATTACAAGATGCTGCAATTGAAGAACGTAGAAAATTAGCCGATAAGGCTGCTCCTCAAGAACAACGTACTATGGTAAGTAAAGTTTCATCAGTCAAAAATATTATATTCTGTTCATTTTTCTGGATAATTATAATAATTATAATTGTATGAAACGAGAACAAAAAAATATACTAAAATTTTTTTCTAAAAAAAAAAATTTAGTATTTAAAAAATATTATGGCATCTAGTCTTGCTATGATTGAAGCTCTTGGGGATAACAAGAATAGTAACGTTATTGATGGTGGTATGGATGCATTACCTACGGCCCCTTTACCATTTTTTAATCAACAATTTAATTTTTCCGAAGGGAATGCTCAATCATCATCATCATCATCAAACCTTGGCGTAAATAATTTAAATAATTTAAATGACAATTACAATAATGATGATATTAATTTATGAAATATGTAAAACAAATTAAAATTATGATAAAATTTTTCTTTTTTTTTGGGAACTTTATTGTACATATTCTATTCCATGTATGTTATAAAAAAAAAATTAGAATTAGTTTATTATGGGCCATGAGGGACATATTATTTTCTGCGTGATAGATTTATTAGTTAAACAAGGTAAGATTTCCTTCTAAATTATTTATTTATCAGCAGTATATATATAATATATTGTGGTTTATCTAGTAAGATTTTTCTTAGACATCAATTTTAACAAATAATAATAATCATAATAAGCTTTGTTTAAAAAATAAAATTTTTATTAATTAATTGAAATCATTTTAAAAAAAAAAGCCGAGAAAAGCTAAAAAACTCTTTTTTTTATTTTTTCTTGATACTATCAAAAAAAATCTCTTAAGATTGCATCGGATCCAAATTCCAATACCTAATAAATCATTTTTTAAATGATGTCAATTTTTTAATTATTGTAGCAAAAAAAAAAGAAAAAAAGGAATATTTTAATTACCTAACGCGAAAATCATCCCTAATAGAAAAAAATTTTGATTTAATAAAAAAATTATTTACATCGTTAATTTTTTGAACGAATAAATTAAATTAAATTTAAAAAAATTACCCGCAACTCATAAATCCTGATTCTGTAGGTGAAGCGGCAACATATCTAACAATTCCTGTGTGACCTTTGTTTTTTTTTTAAAAAAAAAAAGGAAATAATTACAATTAACTAACTTGAATTAATTTAATAAATAATAAATTAATTTTAAAAAACTTACCAGACCAACGTGTAAGTAATTTTCCAGTACGTGAATCCCAACAAATTATAGAATTATCACTTTCATCACTACTAATAACATAATCTTCTTCACACAAAAAAGTAGATTGTACATGATTATTCTATAAATAAATAATAGTAAGCATTTCTGGAAAAAAAAAAAAACTACATAACAATGTTTTTTTTTCTTACTCGATGAACAGCCCCTTCATAAGTTACAATACATTTTCCATTATTAGCATCCCATAATTTGGATGTAGAATCGCAACCACTAGAAAGTACATATGCCCCAGATTTGGAAAATTCTACACTTGAAACTGCTTGTCCACTATGAGCATTATCTATCGTTTGAATACAATCTCCATTTTCTCCTTCCCATATCTTTATACTACCATCAAGTGAAGAAGTAACGAATTTCCCACCATTTGAATTCCATCGAACCTATCAAAATTTTTAAAAAAGAGAATTGTTAGGAATCTTTAGATTTTAAATGTTCAAATAAATCGATTTTATAATGTTAAAAACTACATTTAACGCGTTAATAACAATTGTCTACCTTACCTTAGTTATACTTAATCTATGATTGGATTGTGAATTAGATGGAATATAACATTTAATATTTTGAACATCCCAAAATCTGATAGCCTCATGATCGGTACCTATAATAAATAAAGTAAAATTTTATTATCAACAATAAGAAACCCTAATCCCCCCAGATAAATAAAAAAAAAAGACCTGCTAGCATATATTCTCCGGTAGGATGAAAATCAATAGATCTGACTGGATATTTATCCTGTTATATTAATGTTAAATATCGAGAATTATTAATTAGCTTTTTTTTTATAATAATTAATAATTAATAGAATTAATATCAAAGAAATATCATTCTATATTTTTACTCAAAAAATAGAATTAAAATTCACTGACCCGTAAAAATCGAAATGATCGTTTAATTCCTTGTGTTGCAATATCAAATAATTTTATATTACGATCATCCGAACATGAAGCCAATGTAAGTCCATTTGGATGAAATGATAAATCATTTACACGCTTTTAATTTTTGAAAAAAAAGAGGTTAGTATGGTTAGTATCTAATAAATAACATTATTAAAATGAATTTTTAAGTATTAAATCATCTAACTAAAAAGATCAACACAAGAATAATATTTTGTATAATGAACATTGTTGACAGTTTATAATAATCAGGTAAGAAAGGAATAAAGTAGAAGCCTTACACCAGTATGATCATATAAAGTCCTTATAACGGGCCTATCTTCATCTGAATGACTTTTCATCTTGCTAGTATCAAGAACCTTAAGTGATGAATCAGCCGAACCAGTAGCCGCAAATTTTCCTAATAAAAAATTATCATCAAAACTATTTAAGTACTATTGCCATCACCGCTATTTAATTTTGATTAATAAATACCAGAAAAAAAAACCACAAAATTATGCACCATCTTTCTTAAATCTTACACATGTGGCTGCAGCTCGATGAGTTGTTATATACCAAAGATTATAATTTGGAGTCTGTTTCGGTTCTATAAGAATTTTAATCATTAATAATTCATATCATTAATATCATTAGGAGTTCATATCATTAAGAGTTCATATGAGTTCATATCATATTAAATTCTCAAATTTCTAAAATAAATTACCATGATTCGTTTCGGGATCTATTTCAGTTAAATGTTTTGTTGGGATATCTTCACTTTGGATTTCATCATCAGAATAAGATATATCATCAACTATTACAGGAATATCATATTCATCATCATCATCATCATCTTCATCTAAAAAAAAAAAGAAAAAGAAAATAATTTTTAAATAATCATGTTTTATTAAAAAAAATATATATATACATATTATTAAAAAAGAAAGATATATAAACCTTCATCCTTTGACGAATATGTTGCAGCATAAAGTAAATCAGATAATTCTGTACTAGCATTTTGATCCATAGGAATATTTGATTCTTCTGTTAAAGTTTGAGCAATCTCTGTATATCCATAATAACGTAATTGACTAATTAAATGGCAAAATATAAAAGAAAAAAAAAAGGAAGAAAGAAACAAAGGAATAAATCATTAAATCATTAAAAAAGGAATTCTTTTTTTTTTTTTTTTTTCAAGATGAAAGAAAAAAAAGTGTTGATAATTAATTATACAAGAAAAATTAATTCAGATATTTCTTTTCATCTCAATTAAACTTGATAAATATTTAAAATGGATCAATAAAATTTTATCAAAAATAAAATTATTAACCATTACGTATAAAGAAAGTCAAATAGTACTTCTTCCTATTATCCTACTTCAACTATTTCTCTCTCTATAATTTCTCTTGTATATTCACTTTAACTCTGTCTACAACCTTTCTACATAACCAAATAATCTCAAAAAAAAAAAAACCAATCCAAACTATAATTTCAATTTCCAAAATAAAAAATATTTCTACTTTCTCAGCAACCAAGATACCAAGATATCCTTTCAACCCTTTTAAAAAGGTTAAGTAGGTTAAATAGTTCGCTTTAACAACTCACCTAGTGATTAAAGAGAGGACATCCTCACGATCCAAACTCTGTTGTTCTTCCATCTTTTTTTTGAATGATTATACTGCGCAAATCTCCAACTGCGGGAATTGAAAGAGAAAAAAGCGGAGGACTGGAAATAAAAAAGTTAAGTAGAAGAGAAAGGTCAAAATATTTGCACTCCTTTTATAATTTTTTCTATCCTCTTATGCTAAGCCACCAGCCGGTTTAAGCCACCCGAAATTTTATACTATTCCGCCTATTCGTTCTTTTAATTTTAAGCTTTATCAATGCAGCGGCCGTTGCAATTCTCTTGACCGGTTTCCAGGTTATCTAGAAAAATCTACCAGGTATTTGGAATACTTTTAAGAATTTTTTTTTAAGATAAAGACGCAGCGAGAGAAAAAATTTAGAGATAATCTATACGCAGCTTTCGAATTTTACGCAGCAGATCAAAGAAACATATATAAACATTTGATTTTTTCACATAGTACTGATATATAAACTTAAACACTACTTGAACGATCAAAAAATATTCAATTCAAAAAAAATGTAAAAAAAGATTTATTTTTTTTTTTAAAGGTCAATAACGATAAAATAATTTTTTTCTTTTATTAATTTTCTCTATATATAAACATTCTCTCTACGTTCTCTAAAATTATTATTATTATTTTTTTTTTTTTTTGATCAAAAAAAATTCACAAAATATATACATATATACATATATATATACATATATAAAATGAGGAAGAAAAGAAAAAGAAAAAATTATTTTTAAAGAGAAAATTTAATGTTAAATAATATGAAGATAATATTTATAAAAAAAAATTCAGGGGGAAAAATTATTTAAAAGAGAAGGGAATCTTATAACAAAGTATCAAATTTGATGATGTTTTTTTTTCCCTATATCTACAAGAAATTCATGAACAAATTCGAATCGAACAGGACATTATAAAGGGGAATTATAATAAACCACAGATGTAACTACTCTTTTTTGATCCCCAAACATGTTGGCATTTCTCACAAAACATCATTTTTTTCTTCATCGATAATTTTCATCGACATTATTCAATTTAAAATTCCATTCATTAAAGAAAACAAAACGAAATAATGGGTAAGATTCAAGATTCAAATCTAAGTCTTAATATTCCCTAAACAAAAATTCATTTCCCCAAAAAAGATCACGGGGGATAAGATAATATATATACGTTAAAATATATTGAAAAAAAAAAATGTTCAAATAAAAAAAAAAACTAAAAGCGACTATAAGAATAGTAATGCTAAGCTATATCAAATGAAGAGGGGGTCTTAATAAAGGGAAGCAAAGTAAACAAAAAATGTTCTTTTTTTTTTTAATACTAAGAGAAGTGAACTAAATCGGAAAGAATCTAAAGATTCTTTTTTTAACAGATTAGAACTGCCGTCTTACAACCGTAACGGAAGGGAATAGGTAAAGGCGAAAACATTTTAATGCAAAAGCCTTAATTCTAAACCTTATTGCAATCCGTAAACGGCCCTATTGATGTTTACGCATTATCTTTTTTTTATTATTTTAAATTATGCGAACACTAACACGGCCCGGGATGCAGGATAAATATTTTTGAGACGAGAATTTTTTTTTTTTCTTGACAAAATTTGTCATTGTTTTGCCACTAGTGAATTCTGAGACTACAAGAAAAAGAAACTAATCAAAAAAAAAAAAGATTAAGATAAGCTATTTTCAAGAAAAGAGAAAAAAAAACTATATAAAAAAAAGGGAAAATGGGTTTTCACTATGGCCTGTCTCTTATACACATCTAGATGTGTATAAGAGACAGGTTGATAACACGATGATTGCAGTAGATGATCGTCATAAAGTGANTTTTTTGTGACTAAATAAAAAATATATATAAATATGAAAAATAAAAAAGAACAGAAAGTCCATTAATAATTTTTTTTTGTATTCTCGTATAAAAAATAACGCTGCAATCGTTGCAAGATTGTTTTTGTCCACTAAAAGGGGAGGTGTTCTTTTTTTTTTTTGTTTTTAAAGAATTAATAACCAATACTTTCAACACTTCTTACATCTTGCCACAAGTAGCGATGTGTCTTTTCCATGCGTCTTTGCGAGAGAAAGGTTTTCTACATACGTTACATTCATGAACTTTTTCACCTTTATGAATGCCGTTTATATGACGTTTTAAATCGTGTTTTCGAGTGAACCTTGAACCACAATTAGGATGTTCACAAGCAAAAGGTTTCACACGATTAGGATCATGAGTTGACCTATGAGTTTGCATATTGAACTTTCGATTGAAGCCTCTACCACATTCAGGACAATTGTATTTCTTTTCGCTTTCATCGTCATTTTCATCTTCATTTTCTTCAGAAACGCTCATTGTTCGTTGACGTTTGCTCCTTCTTGTTGAATCATTTTCACCAGAATCATCATCATCTTGAGGACGAGGTCTAATTGGAACCAATTTTGAATTATCTACTGGAGTGGTAGGATTTGAATCAGTCGCATTTAAAGCTTCAGTTTTAATAGTCTCAATAATTCCAGAGTTAGCTTCAATGATTTTAGAAGTCTCAACAGTATCAACAACCGAAACATTTAAAGAGTTATCAACAATGGACTCATTGTTCTTTTCAGAATGAATAGGAGTTGAAACGTCACTCTTTGGACTTTCTTGTTCAACTTTCTTATCAATAATATCAATATTATTATTAAGAGTAAGAGACTCCATATTTAACGAATGAAAAGGTTGATTAATACGGTTATAATCGTAAGGAGTTTTATAAGTTTTTATAGGATCAAATAAACTAAACCAAGAACCCCTACTACTATCGTCGTATAAATCAGGGTCAGCGCTAACGAGATTAGGGGTATCTAATAAAGAAGTAGTTTGAAAAAAAGGTGTGTTTATAGTTGAAGAAGCAACAGAAAAAGGACTACTAGTGACGTAAGGAGTATTGATATAAGGAGTATTTGGAGTAATTAAAGGAACCGAAGTTGTATAAGGAGTTCCAAAATCGGAACAAGTTGGTGTTGAACCAATATCGTCAAACAATAACAAGTCGCTATGAGCGGCAGGAGAAGTATTTATTAAAGGAGAAAATAAGAGTTGGTTACTGTCTTGAAGAAGTGGTGTAGAATGAACGGAGAAAGCTCCGTTGTTATAAGGTTCCAATAATGGAGTTGTAATGTTATTTTCGGAGTATCCGTGTGGCGAAGTTGTAGTGAAATTTGATTGGTCTTGAGTTGTGTAATGGAAATGATTTTCTACAATGTGATTAGAGTGATTATTTAGAGGGGTATCTTCAGAATAATTATTAGTGACGTCAATCTCTGCTTCTTGATGATTTACAAGTGAGGCTCGCGGGCCAATCTGAGAGAGAGAGTTGAATAGTTCATTTTCAGTAAAATCAGTAGTTAAAGTAGAAGGTTGAGAATAAATATTAAAATCCAAATTATTTATATAATCAGGGTTAATAGTGCTGGTGTTATCAGTAGATGTTTGAGTAGAAGTGTAATGCATTAGTTCAATGGAAGGTAAGTTGTTGAAAGATTCTTCGTACATATAAATATTTAAAATATTTTGAGTTTGGTTGTTATTCGGAACGGACTCCACAACGAAGTTATTAATGTGTGTGGTAGTATCCGAGTTCACGAAAAACGTAAGAAAACTAGAATGGAAGAAGGAGAAAAAAGAAAAAAAAAAGAAGTGAGTTAAGAAATTATACTATTACTATTACTATTTCTTGTACGAAGAAAAAGAAAAAAAAATTAGAAACTTTACGTTTTAAAAATACTTTTTTTTTTTAAACTCTTATAAAGAGTTTAAAACTTGTTTTTTAGAGGAATCAAATACCAATATACAGAGGAGCAAAGAGAAACTAAAATGTTTTCTGAGGAAATTTTTTTGATTCAAAAAATAGCTACTATATTTATACACAAAAAAAATCCCCTTTACTTACGAGACAAAATAACATATTTAAGTTTATAATAATAAAATAAAATTTAAAGTAAGATAAGCATAAATAAACTCATTTATATTCATGTAAGATCAACATATTTTTTAATACCTTTTCTTTTTCTTTTTTTTTTATTTTTTTTATTTATGTATTAATAATATAAAACAGTTTGCATTTATTTTATTGTGATTTTATAATGAGTTTGTGTAATTTTATTGAGTTTGTGTAATAAGAATTCAAATTTGGAGAGTCAAATGAAATGATAATAAATTCTGTCAATAATAACCCAATATATTTGTGATTAATTAATTAATCCCGCAGTAGCAACTTTCTTTAATAAGGTTTAAAAAGTTTACTTTTTTCAAAAAAAAAAAATAAACAATGACACAAAAGAAAAATAATTTTCCTATTCTGAAAAGTCAAAGCAAACCGACTCTTATCTCTCTTAGCATTTCTTAATATGTCCCTTACAAGAAATAAGTTAAAAGATAATTTTTTGGCTAAGGGAGAAAAAAAACGCCGAATGGGTAATTGTTAATTCATGGAATTTAATTACGTGAGATTAATAATTTTTAATTTTTTCGATTTTTTTTTTTATTCTTTTTTTTATTCTTTGCTTATCTTTATTTTTTTTTTTGATCCCGATTCTAATAGAAGACTAATTTAGAAAATTGTTGAGAATCTTCTTCTTTCAAAAGTTGTATGCATTATCGGGATTCAAATTCCGGTTGAAACAATTAAGGAGATCAAATTAAAGTCCCACGGTAGGACGCCCATGGTAGGACGCCCACGGTAGGACGCACCAAATGACACCAATGACACCATATAAACAAAATTTGCACAATTTGACGCAACTTATAAGGAAATAACATGAACGTAAATTGCCCCAACGCCTATTAAAATGTTACACTGCCTAATCAAGTTTATTGACCCCAACTAGAGAATCAGAGAATTTATTTGACGCCCGATAATATTAATGGGGTTATTTGCATTACTGATTATGATGATAATGAGTCATGAAAAAAAAAAAAAAAAAATTTAGACTCGCACCAATAAAAATTAAAAAACTTATCTATCTATACGTGAGAAGTCGGGAGGGTCAATTGACTTTATATCGAAACACAACATAAATTAAATTAATAATCCAGACCTGATCTGATAAAAAGGAAATGTTTTAAGTAGTTTGAAATATTTTGGAATATCATAACCAAGGAAAGAAATATGCGAATAGAGAATGAACGGGAATTTCCTATTATTGAAAAATGGTTACAAGTGGGTGACAAGTGTCAGATCATGCCGTGGCTAATATTTTAATGTGATGGAAACGATCAACGGAATAAATATCATTTGACAAATATAAACAATTTAACAGATTTGGTTTAGTGTAAAATTTCAACGGAGTTTTAGTTTCCAGCAAACCTGTTCCAATAAATTTCTTCCGATCTTTATTATTATTTATTATTATTATTATTATTATTATTTATTTTGGAGACGGGATGAATTGGTTGAATTCCCGCAGTATTCCATTCAACATCTTATCTATTACACAAGGTTTATAATTTGGTTAAACTTTGAGGGCTAATTCCGGAATGTAATTGAGTCATAATAACTAATTCTTATCTTCTGCGGATCTAAATTCTCCAGCCACCCCCACATTTCGTTTTCAATGAAATTTTTTTTCTTTTTTTTCTTTTTTATTTCTGCTGGGAAAAAAAAAAAAATTTTGAGAAAAAAAAAAAAAATAAAATAATTTTTTTCCGGTGTTACTTTGTAACAAATAAAAATTAAAATTTTGTTTCACTTTAATATTTTTATTTATTTATTGTGCTTTTTGTTTTAAACTAATAATTTTGGAACAACGAATCTTTTAATTTTGCGTGTTTATTTTTTTTCATCTTAAAATGATACTTTTTTGTGTAAATTTCGTTATCATCGTTCCATTTTTTCCAATTGATTCTAAAATATTATTATTAATAATTACGCATGTATTGTAGATTACGTTGCATTTATTTATGTGATTATAATAACGATCATGGGATATATTTTTTTTTTTTTAAAGGAAAAAATATTTGTACGAATTAAATTTAAAGAAAGAAAGAAAATAAGAAGAACGGTAACTGTTTTTTTTTTTTATACTAAATGGGAAATCTCAAGAGCATAAAAGAATTAAAATAAAATTTGTTTGTTTTCAAACAAATAATAAAATAATTCAATTTTTTACCATTGTTGGATTTTGGAAATTTGGCTGATTTTTTTACTTTAGGAGAATGGTTAAACCGGAACCCGTTTTATAATGATATTCGGTTGAATTATTGAAATTTCTCCCTTTATCTTTCAATTATCAGATTTCAATAAAAAAAAATTACAAGTTGTCAACCCACTTTTTTGATAGTAGATCATTTTCTAAAATAATATTTACCTTTCTTACTAAAACTAAATTGGAAACAATATTGTGAGAAAAAGAAATTTTTCTAAAAGAACACACGACTTTTTTAAAATTACACGTGATATTACACTTCATGTGATAAAAATGGCGTAAATTTGATTTTATCACATTATCACTTTATAGTAAACATAAAAAAAAAAAAAAACTTGTACATTTCTTGTTTAATTTTCTAGGTATGAAATATATTAAATAAGAAATCATTCTCTCTTTAATTATTGTGTTTCATATTTTTAGTTATTAAATAAACTATATTTGTTTTTTAAGCCACAAAATTTAAGGGAATATTTAACTATAAATTAATTAAATAAAAAAGGATCATTGAGTTACACACACGTGATAGTTAATACGCGAATTACCGAATAGTTAAATCGATATTGGATATTTAACAATGAATGAAAACGGGTCATAGCGGAAATAAACGATTTTTATTGGTATCAATAAAAAGCCAAGTTTGGGTAATTTCTTCGGATATTACAGAATTACGTTATATACATTTACTTGAAAAATACGTGAAACGTACACGTAAACGATAAACTTGTAAAGGTTATTTACTATATTGATATAAAGATAATAATTTCTTTTGCATGCATATTTACTCATTGGGATTAATTCGGGTTTTCCTATTCTTTTATTAAGTTTTTTCACGGCATTTCCGATTCTCCTTTTTTTTTAAAATGATTTTTTTTTTTTTGTTTTTTTTTGAATGATTTACTATTTACGCTTTTTGTACGATTTGATTAACGTAATAATAACCACGCGATAAATTAAAAAAGGTCACACATAATAAAAATTTTTTTTATTCAAATTTTTGTTGATGGGAATAAAAATTTTCTTTTATTTTATTTTACGAATAAAGGAATCAAGAGAATTAACGAAGCATTCTTATTTGTGCAAAAGAAATTCATTTTACGCATCCAGTGTTACTCTAATCGTCTGTTTTTTAATAAGTTAACTTTATATTTGTTTTTTTTCGTGTTTATCAATTATAAATTACTTTAAAATATATATATATACGACACGTTTCGAAACGATGTAGATCATCAATTTTCTCCTTACAGTAATTTAATGTAACCTTATAATTGATTATTTATTTATTTATGTATATTATAATATAATGATATACCCATGTTACATATACGCGACACGATCATTCCAGAATCCAGACTTTTAAATGATCAAGTATATAAATAGTAAACCTGGTGCAAGATTTTTTTTTGTTCACCATTCTTGGCCAATTTTTATAAATTAGTTTTTAAGTTTATATAGTTTATATGCAATATTACGTGTAAATGATGGCACCATTCTGACTAATATTAAATGCAAATAAATTATTATTATTTTATTATTTTATATATATATATATATACATATATATATATATTATATTATATTATATATATTTTTTTTATTTTATTATTTATGTATTTTTTAATTTACCAGGTTTTCGAATTTTTTCATTATTATTATTAGTACACAGGTTATATGCCTTTAAGGATAATTGCTGCAAGGAATTCAAATGTAACTTTAAAATGTATTGTTTTTTTAAAAAAAAAATAAAATGTCGATAATTTTTGTTAACCATAATTGTATACATAATACCCTATAATCCTATAATCCTATAATCCTATATGCCCGTCATCCCGTCGACAATGCCGTCATTCCATTGACTTGACGCTCTTTTTGTTAGCATTGTTCTGATGTTCTTTAAAAATATTCGGTGCATATTTTAAATGATTTGACATTTACGTAATATTGTTGTAGTCGTTGTTGTACATCCTTCCGCAGAACAAAAAAAGATAACAGATAAGATCCCGCAGTCATTTTTGTTCGTTATCACAGTTTCACAATACAATATTTTTTAACTTATTTCCAAAAATGTATCAATAAAGGAAGAAGGTTTTTGTTTAAATTTCATTGGTTTTTTAAACTTATTAATAGATATCACAACCTTTTTAACCAATTATTCGGTAATGGTTTCATTTTAGGATTAGGCAAAACTTTAATTATCATTTTTTTCTGATAAGAAGTGTTCTTTCTTAAATGGATATGAATAAAAAAAAATTCGATAGATACTTTCTCTTGCCACAAACATGCACCACAATAACAACAATAACAGTGAATAACAGTGGAAAGTTTTCATGTCGCATGTCTATTCTACCGTGGCGTTCTTTTCATGCAAGCCACACACTCTATACTTGTTCTTAAAAGAAGTTCTTTCTTTTTTGTATTATTTTACAGATTTACAGTGTTACATACCATGGTACAATTGTTACAATTGTACAATTGGTACATATCACTAAATGTATCATGTATCACATGATTAATTGGGCTTATAATCACTCATTTGTTGCATCAACTAATGTAGGCCGAAATTATCAGCATATGACATTGCCGTCATATTAACTTACGTATACTTTTTTTATTATCAAAGTTAATTGATATTTCTTATCAGATCTTCACTCGTTCAAATATCTTTTTCAAACATGGTAACTAAACTTGAGCAACCAAAAGGTGGTTTCAATTTTGATAATTATCAAAGGTATATTTGATATATTTTACTCGTCTTTTACTTACTTCATATTTATGATCTTTTTAAGTACTAATTTTTTAATATTTTAAAAATTTTTTAATTTTGTGTTTAGAAATGTCGCTCTCGAAAAAAAGGGTATTACTTTCCCCAAAATGACTAAAACTGGTACAACAATTGTTGGACTGATCTATAAGGTTTTAACATAATTAATGTAATTAATGTATTACTTTTTTAATTTATAATTAAATTAAATTAATTTAATTTTTTTATTTTGTTTTTTTGATTTTTTTCGTTTCGAATTAATCAATCATTCGCGTAAATTTATGTAATTTATGCTTAATAGGATGGTATCTGTCTTGGTGCTGATACACGTGCAACTGCTGGTCCAATAGTAGCGGATAAGAACTGTGAAAAAATTCATTATCTTGCTCCAAATATGTATTGTTGTGGAGCTGGTACTGCCGCAGATACTGAATTTACTACCGCTTTAATTAGTTCTCAATTGGAATTACATAGATTAACTACCGGGAGAGAAGCTCGTGTCGCCACTGCCTTAATAATGTTAAAACAAATGCTTTTTAGATATCAAGGTCATATTGGTGCCGCTTTAGTACTTGGTGGTTATGATGTAACCGGTCCTAATTTATACACCATACATCCTCATGGTAGTACGGATAAATTACCTTACGTTACTATGGGTAGTGGTTCTCTAGCTGCTATGGCTGTATTTGAAAGTAAATGGAGAAAAGATTTGGAGGTAATTTGAAAATTTGATTTGATAATATTTAAAAAAAATATATATATATTTTTTTTTAAATAAAATTATTGTCATTTTATTAGCGTCAAGAAGCAATTGATCTTGTTAGGGAAGCCATTGAATCCGGTATTTTCAATGATCTTGGTTCTGGATCAAATGTTGATGTTACTGTAATTGAAAAAGGTAAAATAGATGTATATAGAAATTATGCAAAACCTAATGAACGTGGAGTAAAAGAACAAAGTTATAAATTTAAGCGTGGAACTACTGGTACGAATTATTATTATTATTATTATTATTATTATTCAAAATTATTAATTAATTATATTAATTACATTAATATTATTTTTAATAAATAATAGCAATCCTCAAGGAATCAATCAGAGATATTGTTGCTATTACAGAAGGTATTGAAGAGATGGATATTTCATAGAAGGTGGTTTACATTCTTTTATGTTTAATAATGATGTTTGTAAAAAAATTGTATCAAATTCAGTAAGATCAATGATAATAAATTAAATAAAAATAATTTTAAATTATAGGAAACAAAAAATCTATGAAGTTATACATATTTAGAATTCGAATTCAAGTTGAAACATTAAAATTAAAAGTTACAATACAATTATTATTAGAAAACAATCACCAGTGACGTCACTTATAAATAATTGTTTTTAACTATTTTCTTAAACAAATGAATGAATCAACATTTTGATCAAATGAATTCATTACTAACCAACTAGTTTCTATATTATGTCTTATCAAAGTTTGAGACCTATTACGATAACAATGAATAAAAATACTTTTTTTGACATATAACTGATGTGATGAGTATATAATTTAAAATAATATAAATGTTGGTTCATAAAGAACTGAATTTAAAAACATTTAAACGTTTTGTAGAAATTAGGTAAATTTGGTAAATTTTTTGTAGAAATTAGATTAATGCACGTGAGTCAAATTGGTTCAAATCGATAATTTATTAGTAAATTACCGATCGACAAATATATAAATTTCCGTGATTTCATTTATACAATTCATAGGTTTTTTTAACTCGAGACGTGTTTATTTATAAGAAAATAAATTAATCATGAAAGAGCAAATTCTCGAGCAAGCTCCACGAAGAATGTAAGTGTAAGTGTTCTGTAGTTTTTATACTTGTAAAATAAATTCTAAACTAGATATATATGTATATATTTTATATATATATTTTTCTACCTTTATCCTTTTCTTTATCCTTTAGTAAACATATTCAATTTAGTGTTCTTTCTCCTCAAGAAATCGTCAAAAATGCTCAATTAGCAATTACGCATCGCGATCTTTTTAACGATAATCGAAAACCCATGGAGAATGGCGTTCTCGATACGCGATTGGTATGTTTCAAACTTCAATCAATATGATTTTAGTTGTTAATTTATCTAATCTTTGTTTGATATCTCACCTAAAACTTTTTAACTGATACTAAAAGGTAAAAATGTTTATAGGGAACATCGGATCATGACACATTGTGTCAAACATGTGGAGAAAAAATGGCTCAATGTATCGGTCATTTCGGTTATGTTAAATTGATATTACCAGTATTTCACATTGGATATTTTAAGGCCGTAATAAATATGTTACAAAATATTTGCAAGGTAAATAAATGATTATTCTTTTTGAAATTTTCTGTTTGATATGGTCTTCTTTATTTAATAATTTAATAATTTGAATGTTGATCTTAAGTTTTATTAATCCTGTTTTTACGCGTTTTAGACATGTAGTCGAGTTTTACTAAACGAAGATGATCGTCGGTCATATCTGAAACGGATAAGAGCTTCTAGAGAGTCATCTGCGCGTCAAAAACTCGAAAAAGCTATAAATACTTTGTGTAAAAAAGAAGTGGATTGTCCACATTGTGGAGCAATAAATGGATCTGTCAAGAAAGTTGGTGCACTCAAGATCGTTCATGAAAAATTCAAATCAAAGAAAGCACATGAAGAGCACGAAAAATTCAAGAGTACATTTAATAATGCGATCGAATATACACCAGATCTTAGACCTCATTTACATAAAGCACAAGAAGATTTAAATGCCATGAAAGTTCTTGACCTTTTTAAAAGGATATCTGATGATGTTAGTATGATGATTTTATTATTGATTTATATATAAATTATTTAATTAATAATTCAAATATATTTCATTTATATAAATTTAGGATTGTGAATTACTTGGATTAGATCCTCAAAATGCGCGACCAGAACTTTTTATATGGCAACGCCTTCCAGTACCACCTGTAGCGATTCGTCCTTCAATTGCGCAAGATAATGCTAGGTGAGAGATTTTTGTAAAAAAAAAAAAATTGTTTAATTATACAGTGTACCAAAAATACAATTTAAAAAAAAAGGCCATGCTCAATTGAAATACTTTTGATATTATTAGCACAGAAGACGACTTGACGGTGAAATTATCAGAAATCGTCCAAACAAATACCAATATTACAGCAGCTTTAACTAAAGGAGTAACTATAACACAACTTATGGTAATATTTCTTATACTCTTCGATTGGAATAATAATACGTATAAATATATTTATTTTTTTTGTTTTTTGTTCATCGTTTACATCATTGTTTATATAGGAACAATGGGATTACTTACAATTAACAATTGCCATGTACATACATAGTGAAATGCCAGGATTAGGAAATATGGCGGTAAATGTCGAATTTTTTTAGTTTCTTATTAATAAATTGATCGGTGTAGGCTATTGTTGTGAATAGCAGAAAAAGAGTTGTTATAGTTTAAGGCTGAAACTGAATGAACACATGACCATTCCGGCCAAAACTAAGAGAAATATTATAAGCTTGTATATGTCGTAAATATGGGAGCTTTCTTTGTTGAATCTTATTGTTGATAATAGATTTTTTTTTAAAAAAAATTAAAAGGGTATAAAACCAAGTAGAGGTTTATGTCAACGATTGAAAGGCAAACAGGGTAGATTTCGTGGAAATTTATCTGGGAAACGTGTTGATTTTTCTGGGCGTACAGTAATTTCACCAGATCCGAATTTACGGATTGATGAGGTATTATTAAACATTTTCTTTTCAATGGTCTTTGCTCTTTAACATGGATTATATCTAATATATACAAAATTTTTTTTCTTTGCTAGGTTGCTGTTCCAGAACTAGTAGCAAAAATTTTGACTTATCCGGAAAGAGTATTTGCACATAATATTGATAAGTTGCGTCAGTGCGTAATAAATGGTGCCGATGTTCATCCTGGCGCCAATTTTGTTAAGCATAAGTCTGGAGGGAAAAGGTTTCTTAAATATGCTGACCAAGCATCAAAAGATGCTTGTGCTGCCGAGTTACAAATAGGAGATGTTGTAGAGCGACATTTAAGAGATGATGATGTTGTCTTATTTAATCGTCAACCATCTTTACATAAACTTAGTATAATGGCCCATTATGTAAAGTATTATAAAAAACAAAAATATTGTAATTTTTCTATGTTTATAATTTTCAATGAATATAAAGTATTAAATTTAAAATTTATTGATAGGTTCGAGTCAAACCATGGAGAACTTTTCGTTTTAATGAATGTGTTTGTAGTCCTTATAATGCAGATTTTGATGGTGATGAAATGAATCTTCATGTACCTCAAACTGAGGAAGCTCGAATTGAAGCAATAGAGTTAATGGGCGTAAAAAACAATTTGGTTACACCTAGAAATGGAGATCCTATCATTGCTGCAATTCAAGATTTTATCACATCATCATACCTACTTACAAAAAAAGACGTGTTTTATAATCGAGCACAGTTTACACAAATTTGTTCATATATGGCAGATGCTGATATACATATTGATATACCTCCACCTTCAATATGGAAACCAATGAAACTTTGGACAGGGAAACAGATTTTTAATGTATTAATGAGACCAAATAAGAAATCGTCAGTTTTAGTTAATCTTGAAGCCAAAGGACGTTCATTTGACAAGAAGGAGGGCAGAGTGCCCGATTTTTGTCCAAATGAAGGTTACGCTGTCATTCAAAATAGCGAGATTATGTGTGGTTGTATGGATAAAACCTTGGTAGGAGATGGTAATAAACATTCATTATTTTATACGATACTCCGTGATTTTGGATCATTAGAGGCTGCTAGTGCAATGAATCGTTTATCTAAGTTATGTTCACGGTGGTTAGGTAAAGTTTAATTTATATATTATAAATAATATATTCTTGATTTTTATTAATATATAATTTTCATTTTAATTAAATAGCTAACAGAGGATTTTCAATTGGCATAAATGATGTGCAGCCCGGTGAAAAATTAAGGGAAAGAAAAGAAGAACTCATTGGAATGGCAAACAAAAGATGCAATGAACTCATTGAACAATCTAAATTAGGTTTGATAGAAAATCAACCTGGTTGTGATGAGGAACAGACATTGGAGGTGATTAAAATATTTTGTTTCAACATTTATCAAACATATATATATTAAATTTTATTTATTTAATAGACCCATATATCTGGCGTTCTATCAAAAGTTCGTGATGATGCAGGTCAAATTTGCATGACAGAACTAAACAAATATAATGCACCTCTTATTATGGCAACCTGTGGTTCAAAAGGTATCAACAAACTTATGTATTAATTTATATTTCGTCAATCTTTTTCTGATCAGTAGAATTTTCCCAGTATTAGCGACATGGTTGTAAATTGTAAATATTAATTTAACATGATGCGCTCTATAATTTAGGTTCAAAAATTAACGTATCTCAAATGGTTGCCTGTGTTGGTCAACAAATTATTAGTGGTAGCCGAATTCCTGATGGATTCCAAGATCGTTCTTTACCACATTTCCCAAAGCATTGTATGTATGACGGATTCAAATTCAGAATTCAAATATTATTTGTTTATAATAACCATTTTATATTTTATAGCAAAGACACCAGCAGCTCGAGGTTTTGTTAGGAACAGTTTCTATAGTGGTTTGTCTCCAACAGAGTTTTTATTTCATGCCATTTCCGGTCGTGAAGGTCTTGTAGATACTGCTGTCAAGACTGCCGAAACTGGTTACATGCAAAGGAAGTTGATGAAGGTATTTATGTGTATAATAAATATATCAATATATCAACATATTTCCTGATGTCTTATTTAATAGTTCTAATTATAATTTTCTATATAGGCTTTAGAAGATCTGACAATTCATTATGATATGTCGGTACGAAATTCATCAGGTGGTTTGGTTCAATTTTATTATGGTGATGATGGTTTAGATCCAGCTTTTCTTGAAGCAGAAATTCTTCCGGTGGACCTTAAACGTAATTTACAACATATAATAGTATGTATTCATTTATATCTTTAAAGTTATGATTTATTTTTATAAACTCTTTTATTTATTGAATTTTTAAACAATTTATAGAATATAGTTTCATGGGGTAATGATAAAGTGCTGTTACCATATGAAATCCGAGAAATAACAGATAGTATTTTGGGAAGTGATAAATTTGTGAAATTATGTACTCAATCCTATATTGAATCTTTGAGTAATTTTGTTCAACAAGAACTTGTTAATAGATTAAGTTCTATACGAGAATCATATGGTTTAATGAGAGGAGATTATAGACTTAGTGAAGAATATGGAGATCTTGATGATGCAGTTTATAATACTATGGGTTCAAGTAACTATAATTATATTTGATAGTTATATTTGATTTATCAATTCATTTTTCATTTTTAATTTTACAATTATTTGTCTAAATTTAAGATCCTGTTAAAGCTGTTGTAAATCACAAATTAAAAATTACTGAAAAACAGCTTCGAAGGTTTTTAGATACTTGTTGGACAAAATTTATGAGGGCAAAGATTGAGCCAGGTAAAATATTACCTTTTTTTTTGTTGATAAATCCTTTCAAGTTTCATTATATATTCAAATTTTGTTAATATGAAAATTTTAGGAACGGCTGTTGGAGCTCTTGGCGCGCAATCCATTGGGGAACCAGGAACTCAAATGACGCTGAAAACTTTCCATTTTGCTGGTGTTGCATCAATGAATATTACTCTTGGTGTTCCGCGTATAAAGGAAATTATTAATGCATCTAAAACAATTAGTACACCGATCATTACTTGTAAGCTTGTCAATGATACTGATGTGAAATCAGCTAGAATTGTTAAAGGACGTTTAGAAACAACATATCTGGGTGATGTGAGTTATACTTAATTATTTAAATATTCGTTTCTTTATTTTTGAAATATTGTTTACTAATTATTTATATTTCAGATTGCAAAATATATTGATGAAATTTATGAACGTGATCAATGTTTTCTTGCAATTAAGTTGGATTTGGAGGCAATACAAAAATTACAGGTTTACTATAATCAATTATAATTATAATGAAATTTTATTTATTTAATTACAATTTATTAATATTATTTATTTTGTTTAATTTTTGTAGTTGGAAACAAATATTAAAGAAATAGCACGCGCAATTATTGATAATCGTAGCTTAAAGCTTGAAGCTGTAAGTATATGATTCGAATATCATTGTTTTTTTAATACTGGTCAAAATTATTTTTTACATTAATAACTTTTAAACTTTAGCATGGAATTCGTGTAGTTTCAGATGATGAAATTGACGTTTATATTTCAGATAAAGAGATGTCAAAAGATCCATATTGTTTATATTATAGGTTACAAGTTTTAAAACGAGCCCTGCCTAAAGTTATAGTAAAAGTAAGACATGTTAAATATGTTTCAAGTGGTACTAATAAACGATATAGTAATCCAACTTTTTTTTTTTTTTTTTTTTTTTTTTTTTTTTTGTATATAAAGGGAATACAGACTGTTACGAGAGCTGTAATTAGTGAAGGCAAGGGAGGAAAGAAATTATTGTTAGTTGAAGGATATGGACTTCGTGAAGTTATGACAACCGAAGGTAAGTTGATAGTTAACTTTATTTGATATAATGACATAAATAACATTCTTGCATTATCAATTATCTAAATAGGTATTGTTGGTATTGAAACAACAAGTAATAATATTAATGAAGTACATAAAGTTCTTGGTATTGAAGCAGCTAGGTAGAATAAATAATCATACATAATTCTATCTCTATTATCTGCCAAAATATTTTTTTTTTTTTAATCTCTATTTTGTAAATATTTAGAAATACAATTATTCAAGAAATTCAATATACGATGGGTAGACATGGAATGAGTATTGACCCAAGACATGTTATGTTATTAGGAGATATAATGACATTCAAGGTTAGTGAAATTTAAATAATTAATAATAAATAATATTACAAATCATTAATAAATCAACCATTAACTTAAATATTTAGGGTGAAGTACTAGGAATTCATCGGTTTGGTATTTCAAATATGAAAAGTAGTGTTCTTATGTTGGCATCATTTGAGAAGACAACAGATCATCTTTTTGATGCTGCATTACACAGTAAACGTGATTGTCTTGAAGGTGTAAGTGAATCTATAATTATGGGAATGCCTATGCAACTTGGAACTGGTTTATTCAAGTTAATAAGAAAATCACAATTTGAGAATGAAAAACCACCAAAAAGGAAATTAATATTTGATACAAAAGAAAATCATGTAAAATTTACATATGGGGATACAGCAATTGATGATGCTTAGATTTACAGAAATTACAGAATTATTTATTTTATTATTACAATAATACATAAAATAATATAATTAATAGAGAAACACTTGTTCAAATTAATATACTGTATACTATTAACAGAAAAAAATTTTTTAGCATAAATTTTAAGAATTTTTTTTTTTTGCTAAAAATAAAAAGATTATTTATTATTAATTAATTACATTTTAATATTTTGATAGTAAGATCAAATTTTGATAAACAAGTTTAAAAAATCAAAAACAAAAAAGTATAATTTTTAAAATATTGTCAAATATATATATTTTTTAGTAAATTTAAAGTTTTAAGCATTTTTTTAGGATTATATATAAAATACTAAGATAACATATACACTACCTAGACAAAAGTAGCAGACATTATATATGTATTATTTACTTAAAATTGTATATAATAATAATACTTGAAATTTTAATGTGATAAAATAAATTCTAAAGTGTATATATTTAAAATTTCATGTTTCTAGCATTTATACATCTGTTTTAATTAAAAAAGAATAAACGAATTTTAATGAAAATTATACTACTAATATAACGGATAAGCTGCCAATTTATTTATAATTGTGTATATTAATAATATTTGAAATTTTAACATGTACAGTCAACTCTCCATAAATGCATTCCCCTTGGGATCAGGTACAAATGTGCATTTAGAGAGGGTGTGCATTTATAGAATTATCACATAATTTATTTATATAATGATTTTAATGAATATTATATTTATTAAGAAATCTGAAAATCAATACAGAAATACAGAAATAAACCTATCTAAAATATTTATCTATAGTAGTTTGCTGCATTGAATTAATTTGTTCTCTTTTAATAAATTTCTCAATTTTATCCATTAATTTCATATAACCATTTGCATTCTCTTGTTGAATTAAAAATGTATATACAGTTTTTAAGCTTTTTAATGCTTCGTTAATGCAATTAGTTTCTACTTTGGTACTATCATCCTTCAGTACTATCATCTATTTCATCTGAATGATCCACATCTAATCCACTTTTAAATAATTTTGCAATTTCTGAAATAATTTGATCTTCTGTTAGGAATCAAATAAACTATGTTTTCATCAGGAATAGTTAAAAATTCCTTTACTTGCATTCTGTTGTGAAGATTAAGAGCTTCAATTACTTTACCAAGCTCATCATCAATATTATCTTCATAAATATCATACAAAGGAAAAGTATTGGGAAGAATTTCAGTATGATTCCAACAATTTTGAATAGTATCGGCTGAAATTTCATCCCAACTTTGAATAATGTATTGGATTGCTTGTAAAACATTCATTTTTAAATCTTGTATAAGCTGGCCCACTTCAACTTGTTCTAACATCCACCTAAAATAAAAAAAGTTCATAAATTAATTTATGAAAATAATAAATTAATAAATTAAAAATTTATAATAACCTAATATGATAATACCGATAATGTTTTTTAAAAGCCATAATTATTCTAGCATCCATTGACTGAAGTTTTGATGTGGTGTTAGGAGGTAAAAAATAAACATCAACATATAAAAGAGTTAGATTTTCTAGCTTATGATTTGAACAATTATCAAGTAGCAATAAAACATGTTGTCCTCCATATTTTTGGCCAATTTGACGATTAAATTCCTAAAGCCACTCTTGCACTGGTAAAAAAATGGTCTATCCTACACATATCCTACACATATCTTACATATATCAGGTACTCAAAATGTAGAAAATCATACACAAATAATACACATATCATACACATATCGGGTACTTATATATATAGTATACCTATCAGGTACCTGATATATGTATGATATATATATTAGTACCTGATATGTGTATGATATGTGTATTATTTGTGTATGATTTTCTACATTTTGAGTACCCAATATGTGTAAGATATGTGTAGGATAAATCATTTTTTTACCAGTGTTGAAAAATAGTTGTCAGCATCCAAGTTTTACTATTGCTTTGATATAAAGTCATTGGTAAATTGTTAATGTTAACATTTTTAAAGTACCGTGATTTTGCAAATTTACCAATTACTAAAGGATTCAACTTATGTGATCCATTAGCATTTGAACACAATGCAATAAAAAGGCGTTCCTTATTTTTTTTTACGTTTTAAAAGATGCTTTGAAGCTAATGTTCGATCGGATTCTAACTTAAAAATTATATAAATTAGTGTGAAATAAAAAATTGTATTTAATAAATTTTAAAGTAATATATACCGATAAAAAGCCCAGTTTCATCCATATTATAAATTTATTCAAGAGGATATTCTGCACATTTATTTTGTAATAATGGTAAAGCTTTAGCAACAGCATTTTCATCAGCAGAATCTGCTTCTCCGTGAGTAGGGCAAACTTGGGGGTTCTGGAACAGCGGCTATCACATAGGTCTAACCATAATTTAGTGTACCCCCAGACCACCTAGCCTTGATTTCTGATATGATAACACTATACCTGTTTTTCTATCCCCAGACCACCTAACCTTAATTCCCGATATGTTATTACTTGATAGCTAAAAAAGAACCCCCAAGCGTTGTAGATAAGATTAACATCATTTATTCCTAGGCATTATTACCACGCATGAATCCATTCCAGAGTATCATAATTTTATGCTATATCAGATTGCCTTTATAAGTGCCAAAGGTATGAAGGACACAAAGTGTCTGTAATACCGATGGCACGATTCAGCAATCCATTGTGGTATACTATTTTTATGATACTCTAAAATGGATTCATTTGATGATTTAAGCCATTCATGCTCTAACCAAAAATTTTTAGCAGGAAGGCAACTAGACATATTGTAAAGCTTTTCCTGCTATACGAAAAAATCTGGGACAGTGAAGTCTAACCAAAAATCTAACCCAGGTCTAACCAAAAATGTATAGCAGGAAGGCAACTAGATATGTTTTAAAGCTTTTCCTCCTATACGAAAAAATCTGGGACAGCGAAGTCTAACCAAAAATCAGACCCAGGTCTAACCAAAAAATGTATAGCAGGAAGGTAACTAGATATATTGTAAAGCTTTCCTTGCAATACGAAAAAATCTGGGACAACAGGTCTAACCAAAAGTCTAACCAAAAATCCGTCCGAAGTCTAACCAAAAAATATACAGCAGGAAGACAACTAGACATATTGTAAAGCTTCCCCTGCAATACGAAAAAATCTGGGACAATAAAGTCTAACCAAAATTTAACCCTAAACATAAATTGCTCTGATTCTTTGACGAAGCCTATTTTCATACCGATTTTGATAGTAACTACCAATATGAGATTGACATCGACCACTAGATGAACCTGTAGGTTTACCACATACAGCACAAGGAAAGCGTGATTTTGTCTTCCAATGAATGCGACAACCTTCTGGCCTCACACAAGGACGACCACAAGGCTTGCCTGTGTTATGTAAATATTCACAAGTATATTCTCCAATCATTTTTATTAAGTATAAATAAGTTAAATTAAAAAAAA